TGCTGTGGACATGTTAGATTGTTGCTGTGGACATGTTAGATTGTTGCTGGAAGACATCTTGTTCCCTTAGTGTGTTCAGCACTGGCTGAATAATAATTATGTTCCATCAAACCATAACCAGCTGCTAATATACAACGCAAAAGAAGTAAAAGAACATCAGATACTTTCATATTACTATAGTGCATTTTCCATGCCCAACGATAATATGAAAGAATTGAGTGTTCTTTAAATTCCTTTGAGTACCAGGTTGTATATTTTCATTGTGGGTGACCATACTTGAATCCAGAGGCATAGTTAACCAGGGACTTAACTAGAATTCTAAACTAACTATCCTTGGCAGCCAATTGGGGGGACAATTTCATTATTTTGTTCAAAACTGGATTATATACAAGCTCTTATTTCCACAATTCTGAGGTACAAGTGTATTTTAACATTAAAATAATGTGAAAACAAGCAGTGAAACTTCTCCCTCTTCATGGTCCTGTTGTCAGTGATAGTGAGTGAGTGAGTGAGTGAGTGAGTGAGTGAGTGAGTGAGTGAGGTTTTACGCCGCTTTTAGCAATATTCCAGCAATATCATGGCGGGGGACACCAGAAATGGGCTTCACACATTGTACCCATGTCGTGAATCGAACCCGGGTTTTCGGCGTGATGAGCGAACGCTTTAACCACTAGGCTACCCGACTACCCCTGTCAGTGATAGACAGTTACCTCTACTCAGTAGGGCTGGGGCGAGTCCAAATTTACTACCCGGGTACCCACCCCCCTGTTACCTGACCCTACCCGGGTACCCGCTGTAGGTCTATAGAGATTGGTAAAACATGTCCGATTGGGAATAGATTGACCATAGCCCTGGCAAAATGAATTTAGGTACATGTATAATCCGATCTGGTCATGCATACACTGACGTTGACTGATGTTTTATCAATATGCAAACATATATAGTCAGAAGGAATGAGTGCAAAGTCAGAAAGAAATGAGAACATTTATCACTTATAGTGTAACCATAGAGTTCTAGATAATTCTTGCCATTAAACAATATAATCACATGACTAACCACGGGTCCGGGTAGTCCTGTGGGTACCCGGGTCCTGCTCAGTACCCACCCGACCCGGGTACCCGAGTTACCAATCACAGCCCTACTACACAGCCATAATATTAGCTATAACTATCTTAACATGGACTGGGAAATTTGTTATTCGAACTTGGGAATTTTTAGTGCCATTTGCTCCAGACTTGGGGACGAATATCTGCCTCTGAGCAGGACTAGATATCCTCCTGTTACATTTATATAATCAGAAATTCAATAGGTGGTTGGGTAGACATAAGGTAAACGTATAACAACACTATTTTGGTGATATATTTTCATATGCATGAATTGTGACATCACTAAATACACCCCTCCTTTATCAGGAAGCTGTATCTGCACTTGGTGACAATCGCATGGGTTCAGCTCGGTACATTGTCTGAACTGTTTTCAGACTAATTGAGAGATCACAAACCGACATGGGACAGAATGTGGGACTGAAGACCTAGCTTTATACATCAGATCTGGACACTCCTTAACCATTGTTAACATACTTGAAAGACACTATTGAAAACACAGTTCAGATGCAGAATATTCAAACATCTCGTATGAAATATATGTAGGATACTAGACAATCCTTACCCACTGAAAATGGCAAAACCATACCTAAAATTGATACATACCCCATTTGGAGCATTCATACTTTATTTGATTGAGTCAAAATTTGGATGACCCATACACAAATCTAGATGGTTCGTACACAAATATGGAGGACCCATACCTATATATTTTCACATTTGTTTCACTTTTAACAAGTCAGTATTAAAACAAGATTCCAAAACAGGATTGTGTTAACCATGCAGTATACACCTTAAAGACAAAACAAATAAAATATTTATAAGCTTATTCACACTAAATTCACATATTCTCACTTACATTTTGGGCACTATTAATTTAATACACTTTCATAGCAATTGTTACCAACTGATTAATAGCAATATTTTCACACATTCAAACACTTTGAGCACTCTTAATTCAATACACCCCATACAATCATTCATTATATATTTCAAACATTCAATTCACTCACTATGTTTATTGGGATAATTGGGGACTATGCCTGACACTAAGCACCAATTAGAATATTCAGTGTCCTACACAAATGGCCATGTCCGTGTAGTTTTAGTATTAGACTACTGAGTCCATGGAAGTCGGCCAGTGTGACAAGAAGTTGACACAGTCAGGGATTGGACTACTCATGTGTTCTTATATGCAACACACAAAGAAAGAAGTCTTACTAGAAAACATGTTTCATCAATGTTTTGTGGTAGAGCTGATACTTTTCAGAAGCGATTGGAATTTCAGTAAACTACTTTTATAACAGAACACGCTTATAACATGTATAAGGAACTGACGGATATAACAAACTGTTTTTTGGTCCCGTCCATTTCCTGTATATATGCTGCATATATGCTCATAACGAACTACGGTTATAACAAACTAAAATAAGTGGTCCCTTCAAGTTCGTTATAACCGTAGTTTACTGTACTATAGATTGTTTCGGGAATATAAGTTATTATATCATAATAACATCACGGTCACCACAGCACCTATGGTGTCAAATATCATTTCTGGGTCATTGCTTCAGATAACAACAGAAGCAAAAAATGTTTAAAATCATATAAATTTTCATTGCTTACAAATACAGGTTTTTTTACAAGTCATCCACTTGATCTGGTATTGGCAGGTATTGGCTATCCAACATTTGTGTATGAGTCTGTAAAAATATACAAAGTATGGATATCCTGGGTACGGATTGTCCAGTTCCCTGTGTCATCTTTATTTTGGATTCAGACAGACCAGTTTTTAAATTTGATGAACCTGACCTAAACATGTTTAAAGTACAAGGAGTAAATTTATTAAAAAAGTGTTGTGTTTGATTGAAAATATACTTATTCCGGACTACTTTTACGTCGTTGAACCAAGTAATCTTTATTTCAAGGGCTGTATCTACATATAAAGGCTATAGGCACTATGTCAGATTGTAACTAAACATGCATTGCATTTGTTGTACTTCAGGTAATAAGGTATGTTATAATTAGGAGATAAACATACTGTGTTTTCAATGTAGAGCTAGGTTACCTGTAGATTTAACCCCGCTAAATTGAATTTGGAACCGAACGCGCATGACAAAATAAAACGCGAACTCTTTTGTGTTAGCAAATATACTGAGTGAAGCGGCATGAGTTGAGTCAAATGTTTTGATCTGATCGATCTGAATTACGGAATCACCGAACACAATATGGTGCTGTATATACTCAAGCAGTTTGTTTACTCCATAATACTTCACTCGAACATATGACAGGCATTGAAAGCATATAAGCATGGCAACTTGGTAAGCTAACATGAGTTGGGAATCCCTAAAGAAAACAAAGCAAGCTTTGCAAGGCTTTCGCTCTACATCACACGTCACCATTATGACGTCATATTGTTTATTGTGACGCAAAATTTATGACGTCATAGTCGTATATAAAAACCTGCCAAAATTCCAAGCTCTCTGTTGTCTCCAAAACATAAATACAGTCCCTTTGTAGATTGCTATCATGTTTTATGCACGAAATGTATTGCCACACATCCTTTGAATATTGTAGTAACCGCATCTGTGCATTTTGTAACCTGTAATTGTAGATATAATTATTTAATTACGCCTACCGACAATGACTGAAAAAAGTACTATTCTATGAATATTAGCTTCCGCGGTGATGCGGCCATCAAACCAGCTGTTTCAATCAGAGGGGGTTTATTGTGATTTAATAGCCTCTGATTGACCAATCAGAATCGAGTAAATTCCAAATTCATGGTAGAATATATGATAACGTCCAATATCAACCATATGGTATAAGGAAATGTGAACCTGATTATTGCTGTGACAGCAGTCCTTCCCATGTTAAACACAATTAAGTCCTTCTAGGCTAACTTCATCATGTCTATACAGTCTTGAAAAATTAAGAGTATCAAAAGCATTCATCATTCTGACTATCAGAAGGTCAAGACCATGACGACTGCTGATTAAATTCCTCAATTGTCATGTTTTTCAGACTTTATTCTTCAGTTTATCTTTTCGTCCAGCTTATTTACATTTTTTCAATGATGATCATTTATAAATATACAAAGAATGGCATTTGACCAATATAAGAGAATATTAATGATTATGTAAGAATGGTGAAACTCTTGAATATCTTTAATTTTAATCAAATGTGTTGAAATTTACCAATATACACATATAAGGAAGAGAATATATGCATGTAAACTTCTTTATTATGAGGAACTCAACGTTTCGGAGTATATGCTTAGGAGTAAGCATATACTCCGAAAGGTTGTGTTCTTCATAATAAAGAAGTTGACATCCATATATTCTCTTCCTTATGTGTATCACTTTTAAATGCCTTTCAAAGACCTAATATACACAGATACAACATCTTTAAAACCTATCAACTGAATATATAAAAGATGTTGAAAATATATCATTTGTCCACTGTTCACAAAAGTGTTCATTAGTGTTCATAAAAAATATTCTGATGATAATAAAGTTGTTATTTTTAATCTTATATTGGAGTGTGAGTGGACTTAATTTACCAAAGAAGCTCATGTCTTCGTCTTTGCCACCAACCCTGCTCAACACACCTTACATCAAGTCATAACATAATTACAATTTTATTACTGAGATATCATGACATCTGCACGATTGTGTTTTCATGCTAATATTTTCACTCAAAGTAGTAAAACTAAGTATACCTAATACAGAATTTCACGTGTACTCAAACTCACATTAATTAAAAACAACAATCAAAACTTAATAACAAGAAAAAAGTAAGTAATGTGAATGGAGCATATGTTAAAAAAGTTGTAAACTACGTAAACACGAGTGCAAGCAAGCCATGGACAGTCAGGTAATGCGATCTGTTGGACCTTACCTGTGCAGAAATACTGCAATGTGAAGGTATCACGTTCAGACCTGGTCAACAGGTTTCCATCCTAGATAAGCACCTAATATCCGATCACTAGAGATGTGTGGTAAAGATAAGAACGACTGCGAGAGACCCGGAGAAAGCTGCAATTATCGACGGGGTAAGTTCGGCCGCTACGACTTCACATGTAATGTAAACATCCACAGACGCTGGAAAGGCAGTTTTTCCGTTTCACAGGTAACACCCTCCTCAGGTGTGCCAGAATGTTCAACGTTGCACGACTTGCCCACTAACATATATCATATAACAAGCCCGGTTGGCAAAGTGTTGAAAGATGTACGCACTTTGACACAGTTAACAGAGCGTGACAGACCATGTATTTACAGCGGAGTGACATATACACCTGACTGGCCTGTCAAAGTTACCTGTGACACAATTTACAACGCCCCCTGGTCGCCTATTACAAAAGGGAGGTAACAAATCTAGTAACCGATAAACCAGTCAATGGCTGGTATTAAAGGGCACCATTAACTAGAAGTACAACGCGCCGATTTCGAACTACGCGTTGTGGTTTTAATGTGTTAAAATAAAAGAGCATTCCTTTAGGTGAGCATGTTGATATGTTATAACTGTTACGGCGTGATGGCGCGGACGTCACTGAAAGCAAAATAACTGCCAAAGCTAAATGAGTGAGTGAGGTGCGTTTTTCTCCGCTTATCAACATTCCAGAAATGTATTTGTTTCTTTGTTTGTAGTTTAACGCCGCACTCAACAATATTCCAGCTATATGACGGCGGTCTGTAAATAATCGAGTCAGGACCAGACAATCCAGTCAGTGACATCACGAGCACTGATTTACGTAATGCTGATACGATGACATGCACCAACCAATTCACCGAGCCTGACCACCCGATCCCTTTAGTCGCCTCTTACAAGCATGGGTTGATGAAGACCAATTCTGGCCCAGTTTACCAGGGGTCCATTCCAGAAATGGGCTTCACACATAGTATTTATGTGGGGAATCGAACACGGGACTCCGTCATGACGAGTGAATGCTTTAACCAGTAGGCTACCCCAAGCATATTTGAAATGTGTGTCTATCTTTAGAATTCAGCATTTCAAAGTCACAAAATTTTGATCTTGACATGAGTTTCAGTCAGGTGGATTATCTGCATCACAAAGACAGTCGACCGTTTAAATAAAGTACGCCATTCTTCGTACAATACGCTGTGTGCTCAGCACTCAATATATGACAACGCGTATATAGAATCTATAGGAGGCTCCGTGTTTGGTGTTGCTATTTATTCCCAGTTTAATTATATTGGTAATTCATAAAGGGATATCAGAAAATCGGTTTTTATATATCAATACATACTTAATGATTATAAACTCTAATTTGTGATAATAAATATTTCATATTTATTAATATTTTATAGTCGTAACATGGCATTATTAATTAATATTTTATACAGTTAAATAACGAACAAACATTAATACGGCACCTCATACTATTTGATAAATATTCCCGATCGGGCTCGCTACTCTTTTTTTCTGATACTGTATTATGAAAAACACAACACTATTTTCTCTCATTAACCGACCTTGAGCTATTTCAAACGCATATGCCATGTTACGTCTATCAAGATCGCCACACTCGACTGATGTGATGGCGACGGAGAGATCCTATATTCCAGTTACTGCCTAAAGCAAGCATGCAAACAAATGTAGTTTTACTTGGGGATCGTGTCACTGACGCATTTTGTTGAAACACCCACGTTCGTTTCCTCAAAAAGTACGAAGAATAAAATACGTGCAGCAATTTGGGAGTTTTGTGAGAGACTGAACATTATTTTAACTTTTCTCTTTGATAACACGTTTTCTCAGGAGATTCAACATGTCTGGTGACCAATGTATTGTTTGTAAAGCCTGCAGCAATATTTTCTGAAACAAAATTATTTTAGACAGGAAATCCCAAGCCCCCAATAATATCAAATGGTCGGTCCTTCAGTGATAAGGGTAACAAGTCACCAACCTCACCCTACTTAGACCCCCTGTGCTTGATCTGTACCCCCAAACTGACCCCTGCAGCATCAAAGGAGCGCAAGGACAACGTCTACGGTTGTTACCTGTCAATCACCACCACGTGGGTGGAGGGAAGAGCTGGCGTTATTGGCAATTGTTTAGACATTATTTGTTCAGTGCTGTAATCGGATACCCGTGTGGAAAAGACGGTCTGTCATGCGTCTGTCACGAACCATGGAGCATTCAGCCAGCTATTGAACACAAAATTGGATCATAGTATCAGTTGTCCCAGGTCTATTGCTTTCATGAGTAACAGTAGATAGAGGTTATCACGCGAGTGTGTTTGGGGATGGTAAATATCCTGCATTAGGAATAAACATTGTATTCAGCGAGCCTTGGCGAGCTAAATACATAGTGTTTATTCCTAATACAGGATATTTACCATCCCCAAACACACAAGCGTGATAACCTCTTTATCATACGTCATTCTCAATTTAGCTGAACATTGCGAGTTTTCCTTGAATGCGCGCATTAATATTTATTACGTCAGAGGGTAAATGATGTGACAGTGACAGTAGCCAATATAGTTCAAACTGAAATCTGTTTCTTATACAGTGGCGAAGCAACATATACGCAAAACAACAATTGTTTTTACTTGCCTTTCGCGGCAATCCATCGGTCTGTCCGCTAGAGTAACTGCCCTTTGTCAAAGGGAAGCTACTCTAACCCTAGCCACGTTCAGACGTTGTTGCCATTTGTCACCACGCGTCCCTTTCCGTAACCTGCAAGAAGACTCGTCCCCTTATCGATGAATGTTATGTGCGAAAATACGACAAACGAATCAGAATGCGGGCATGATTTCAAGTTCTTCGTCAAAGAATCCCTCAGAAATAAGTTTTGATTTTACATGTCTTACATCTAAAAATATACCCAAGACACAGTTACATGTGTTCACCCATACTGTATAATTCCGCATGTCCCGATGTGCTTTAAATTGCATCTGAAATATATATAATGTATGGGGAAATATATGTGAACCATTACGCAACGAGTTTTAGGTATGCCCGTTTGCGCTAAGAAGGAACCCGGTCGCAAAAATAACCATGAGAGGGGCACGAGTCGCTATTCGGCTTGTCCCGGAATAACACGAGTTGGTCACGAATGACGTTGTTGCCAAAACTTATAAAAAGCCTTAGTTACGTCGCAGTTCGACACTGATTTTCAGTATATTAGACTGTTCTTTTGATAATTGTAGCAATTATCCCTGTAGTTTATCCAGATTCACGATAGTTAATTCAGACTCGATCGCCGAATGACAAGTGCGACGCCATGTTTGTTTATAAATACTGAAAGTAGTCCCTACTTGACCTTTGATATTTGCATCTCCATCCGCATATGACCCCAACGGATATCGTTTTTATCCGTTGGCTTTATCCTGCCGAGAAACCTACCCATTATATGATAAATCAATATTGGATACAAGTTGGGGGTTTTCAGGGGGTTTTAAATATATTTTTTAACGCGTTTTATTGTCAGAATATAAATGGATCGGGCACAAGAAGTGAAACGTACATGGAAGTTTGTCGTTTAACGCCGCACTCCGCAATATTCCAGCTATATGACGGCGGTCTGTCAATAAGCGTGTCTGCACAAGACAATCAAGTGATTGACATGAGGATCTATTTACGCAATTGGCATACGATGACATCCATCAACCAAGTCAGCGAGCCTGACCACCTGATCCCGTTAGTCGCCTCTTAGGACCAGCATGGGTTGCTTAAAGGGGAAGTGTACACGCAAAAATCACTTTCTTTCTTTTTCTAAACAAAACGCAATTTTAGAATTAATTAGTATCTGTGTTTGAAAATATACACTCATTTTTTTCACAGTGAAAGTAGGAAGCTCACAATAGTGTGAAAATGATATGCCGTTATGAGGCCTTCGTTTTTCGAGCTAAACAGGCCTGAGTTATCCCCCTTAGATTATGACGTAATTGGTGCCAATTCAACTGGGTCCCTGTCTATTCTCAACGCAAAAGATATCAAGTACCAGTTTGCGGTAAAACAACATGGCCTACGACACACTCCGGCGCAGTGGTGACTCAGCATAACACTATGCTGGCTGGCATCTGAGACGCTAGAATCACACACCTAGACCTACACCACGTGAAGCGGCTCTAACAAAGCATGATGACGTCATAATGTTTATCAATTGGCACCAATGACGTCATATTGCAAGGGGCATAAGCCATGGTGTTTTTGTTGTGGAAATAGAACACTTGGTAAATGTGAAAAATATAAATCGTTTTAATGCGAAAAATATGTTAATTAATTGTGATATTTTTATATTTTTGTCTATGACACTTCTAGGTTAACACTTTTAATGTGGAAAAAGTACAAGAAAAATAGGTTAATTTCCGTGTGAACTTGCCCTTTAAAGATCAATTCTAACCCGGATCTTCAGGGGTGCCAAACAAGTAGCTACAACTGGACACTGATAACAGATTTTATCATCCAAAACTGGCTCCCACAGGAGATATCGCTTTGATGAGATCAAACGATATCTACACTGTAGATATCGCTGCAATGAAATTACATCACAATGCTTTGAAGACTATTGTGACGTCACTGGTTACCATGACGTCACAGTCAAATGACATCACTAATGACTCTGCTACTGAAGCTGTTAGCAGTACTGCTAATTACTGTTTACAAATTGAAAAAGCTGGAGGAATGATGTTGGGTGATAAATAAAATCTCACCCTTGTGTCTTTTGATATCAAATATATCAACACTCGTTGATAAAAGTGGCAAACATCTTAGGCAAGCCTCGGAATTTTTCCACTTTTATCAACTCGTGTTGATATATTTGATATCAAAAGACACTCGGGTGAGATTCTCTATATGACTCAAATACAGCGAAAACCCGTTTGTGCTGACCCTGTTAGCCCCGTGAGGAAACATTATCCGGTGTTAGGTTTTAATGTCCTTTTAATGTCTTTCTTAGTGCTCAGTGACCCTTTTCAGTCCATCCACCACAACCACTATCTGTATCCATCCATGTGTTCTTTATTGGTAGAAGCAATATGTCCTGTACGCTCAACAAAGGAGGATATGTCACATTTTGAGATCATTCATAACCATACGGCTCGACTGTGGTCCGACACCATCACCTGGTACGGTATTCATAAGACAAAGTAAGTAAGAAAAATAAATATGGAACACTTAACTTGCAACTATACTGTGATAGTCTATCCCTCGGGGATTCCGGGTCAGAATGAGTTTCGAGTATAACCTCAGACTTGTGTAAGTTAAAAGGGAATCACCCGGTGAAGATTCGGGTTAGCATTGGTTTTCAGCAACCCATGCTTGCCGTTAGAGGCGAGTGGTCAGGCTCGCTGACTTGGTTGGTGCATATTATCGTATCCCAAATGCGTAGATCGATGTTCATGATGTCGATCACTGTATTGTCTGTTCCAGACTAGGTTATTTACAGACCGCCGTCATATCGCTAGGATACTGCAGAGTGCGGCGCTAAACAACACTCAAATAACATGGGAATCTGGAGATCGATTTTGTAAATGGATTGTGTGGCATCGTGCCAAGATGGCGTCGACCGTGCTCATGCTTTCATCCACTGGTTTGCCTATAGTCAAGAGTCGACCACTTTAGGGTCCGCCGTGTGAAAGCTTGAATATCACAAACTCGGCTTTTAACAACATTCAGTCTTTGGTAAGTTGGTAAATCATTCGCTATCTATATAACGGCGATTTACTGAACATACTGGAAACTTATGGGTGAGTGAGTGAATGTTGAGTTTGTGCTGCATTCAACTATATCACAGCGAACTTGAACAATGATCCACACTATCACACCAGATGTGGTGCATTTTTTAAAAGACAGCAATTCATATTTCCAGATTTTTTCATGTTCTTGTTGAGCTTGTGTCATTCGTCAAAGAATGATTTTTCTTGTACCCTATAGGAGTAACCCTCCACCCAAACCCCCTACCCTCCCAACGCACTGTCTCAAAAATCAGTGCGTCTCAATAATGTGGACGATACGTTAATCTCTAAACTTGAATACACATGTTTCTCGGGTACCTTTGTCTCAAAAATGAGGAAGGAGATAGGACTTAAAAAGTAATTTTATAAATTGAAAATATGAATGGGAAGGAAGGAACAGTTTTGATTTCATTGTCGTTTGTGTTCATTTTAATATATAATATAATCTATTTCTTATAACGCGGGATATTTGAAACTATTTATATTTTGGCAATTTATATGACGAACGAATGATTTAAACTGATGCGCTTTACCCAAGAAACATTTCGTTTTTGAGTCTCACACATGCATCGGCGTATCTGTTCGCAGGTATTATATATATTACAAGCCCGCCATGGTGTCTATAAAGTCAACACGACTCATGCACCAATGCGTCCGGCTCGTGCTGAGTTTTCATCTGTGTAACACGATATTCCAAAACAATAATTGCATCCTTTTCTATAAAAAAAAAAATGCTTCAGAACGAAGATCGCTCTACGGCGCATAGCTTTGTAATACTTCATATTGCGGTCATGCGTCGGCTGGTTTCAGATCAGTTTGAAGATCATTTAGTAGATCGGTGTGTATAAGGGGCTCGGGCATAGGTTATGGGTGTGAAAAGCCGGATACGTTTGATGTTCATGTGTTTGATGTGTATATATGATGAATGCATTGTGGGGAGTGTTTAGAGCGCTGCTCTGTGCGACACGTGGAGATATCGTTCACATACCTATTTCCCCCTTGCTATACAATGTTTCTGCATTAGTATTAGTTTAGTTTTAGTGTCTACTTTTTAACATCACTTACGTGTATAATGACCATATTTGTATTTTAGTGCCTCATAGGCCATGTTGGCCGGACATAATACGTTAATAGATGTGATGTGTAATTATATTTGGATGTAAATCGTGTGACACGAGACGAAAGTAATCTCCCTCCTCCTCTTCTTCCCTCCTCTTCTTCTGTGTTTGGTGGGTCCTTAATGAGGCGTTCCTAACGCTGCGTCATGTATCACATGGGGACGCCGTTCACATACGTCGTATGATTTTTCTTGTTATATTTTAAGCCCTCCTCGAAAACAAAAGTCAATAGGTCAGGGACCTGTTGGTTATTTTCGCCTTCCCCATCGATTGGCATGTACGGCCTGTTAGACAAAAGTAAGAGAGGTTTTATTTTCTGACTGAATAACCATGAGTTTAACATCAGGTACTTTGGTCTACGCGAACCCTCTAGTGTTATTTTTATCAGTTTTGCAAAATATTAGATAATTGAGTTATTCAATTTCCTGGGTTTGGAGACCTTGTCTGTGCACAATAAACGAAACGTTCCTTCATCATTATCACATAAACTTATGTGTTTTTGCAACCCATATACGTTTGACAATTCCTATGACTTTCAGCTTTATGTTGTTAAAAGCGGCGTTTAACCCACCTCACTCACCCAGCTTTATGCTATTATTTGAATTCAGTGAATAATGTATTCTTATTAATTCTTTCAAGGTATTTTGGCAATTAATACACACATAAGGGGAGCAACAATTTCACTAACTCTTTCGAGTACGATATCATGCAGCGTCATGCTAAGCAGAATGAATACGTTGTATCACTTCTGATACAAGACTAATACCCACCATTCACGTTCTGTAAGAATGTTGTTTGTTTCTTTCAGTTTTTGTTAACCCTTGATTCGTGTTTAACATGTTGTGCAAGTCCTTAAAATCTTCATTTAGAGCCAGTGCCTAGTAATACACAAGTACCACGTGGCATACATACATTTGTAGCAAACCTTAGCCATACCTCCACATGAGTAGCTGTAGCGAGCACTGGGATCTGATTTTAATGAGATTGTTTGTAGCAGAGACATCTCATATTAACAACTCATACACTCATTCTCACTACCACACTCACTGTGTTCATGTTGTGTCAATTCGCGTAGCGGTTTTATGTTTATGATAAACAAAAAACGAGTAAAAAAGCCCCTTTATTAAATAATACTAATCATGTTGATGTATTAAAAAAAACATATTACAAAAGTGACATGTTTTCAATAAACCATTTAATTCATTAAAGTTCTTCTCTTCAGCCAACAAACTAAAAAAATTGCTTCCCGAAGTATACATTCTTTTATTTTTGAACATTTGGAGCTGAATATTAATATTATTTTCTCAGTTCTTCATGACATAAATCTCTTCTGGGTTTTTTTAAAAGGAGGATGAGCCACACTGGTGGCAGCGGTGTTACCGAGAGTGTAACGAAGGTGTCACGCGCTGGGAAGGAGCTTGCTTGAAGGGAAGTAACTCTAAATGAAAAACGTACACCGGAAGTTTACCTGTTTACGTTTCTCTGTCGTCCACATGTGTTGTAAAACGTTGATTCTGCACAGTGTTTAGTCCCAGAAAGGTAGTATTTCGAACAATTATTATTGACTTGTAACATATTCATTCAATCAACAATGTTCGCATCATTCAGAAAAGTGAGTTTGTAATAGGCAACACCTAGAAAGTAGTGAGTTTGTAATAGGCAACACCTAGAAAGTAGATCTTTACTACTAGGCTTGTATTCTACATAGCCTAGACATGAACTACTGAGTGACAACTAACTAACTGTAAAAAATAACCAAACATCTGATAAACTACAGAAGACACTTGATTGCTTGCACGTGGGATGCCTGCATAATAAACTTCGATTAGAAATTATAAATGTTGGAAAGGCCTGAGATAATTTGAAATATTTCATGATAGTGCATGTTGGTTGTGCTGTTGGTATTTCCTACAATTGAAAGAAAATGATAAATCTCATCTTTTCATCTCTTTTGTCAATAAACAAAATGATAATTGTGACATGTTTTGTGTTGTGATAATTATGTTGGTGGCTTGTGTAAAGTGTGATCAGGTGCACACTGTGTACATGCATGCGTGTGATACGGACACGTCCTGTCCTGCTAAACGTGAACACTGATACCTACTAATTGAATAACTCATATTTCCTATTCCAGAATTTGCAACATCTGAGCTTGGAATTGAGTAAAAGTTAGCAACTATGTCTCTTGCTGACGAGCTGCTGGCGGACTTGGAGGAGGGCACAGAGGATGTGGGGCAGGATGATGGCGAGAATGTTGCTGAAGTTGCAGATGTTGAGGATGTTGTCATGGAACCTGAGATCCAGGCAACACGTGTCACAAGTGTGGCAAAGTTACGTGACAGTCAAGAACTGGCTGAAATAATGAACAATATCAAGAAATATTCCTCACAGTCGAAGATGGAAGGTGGTGAGATATTACAATTTTTCTGTTTGAGAAAAATCACCCAAACATAATTTTGTATAAATATGGTCATGATTGTAGCTGTATGTACTTGTGATGTACTTAAACTATCTTTTGACATGGTTGCCTTGAGGAACTAAACTTAAAGAATGATCTGATAATCTTTGTTTTAAAAAAATAAATCCAATTCATTATTAGTATTATTTCTTGTATGGTGACATGTTCATAATGTGAGAAGGCAAAGTAAGGTGTCTAAATTTGATAAGATCATGTACACTGAATATACTGAAACTAACAACTGTATACTCACTAAAAGTGGGACGATACACCAATGCATTGATGGATCGAAACAACTATCGATCACAATCGCACACTAAGTAAAAAGTATCGTTTCTTACCTTAAATGTATTTTTTAATAAATGTTACACCAAGCACTATTAATTACTAGTGAGAATGAGTAGTGAAAATGTAAATATTTTCATCCATTGCGCCGTTCTTGACACTGTCAACTGTAAATCATTAGTGTGCTAGGTATATGGCCATCCTGTCTATGAAAAAGATGGCTTATGCGTCACAGATAAGAACACATGCAAGCATCGTGATGCGTATCGGATCGAGCAGTTGGTGTATTGTCCAAGCCCTAATACTCACATTTCTGTTTCTTGGGCAATGGTGAACTTCTATGTATTCGTGAATAAATGACACCTTTTATGGATAGCAACTTCTTTTATTCTTTGTCACAATGTTTCAGAGCTACTCTTTGGTCCTTCACCTGATGAAGGAGCAAGAAGTAGGTCTGAAACATCGTGACAAAGAATAAAAGAAGTTGCTGTCCATAAAAAGTGTCATTTATTCATGTTCTCCCAACTTGTAAATGCTTATCAAAGACTTCTATGTATCATGATGTACTCGTCAGCGATAAAAAGCAACATTAAAGTCTTAGGTGTTAACAGAGCAGATTGGTTTACTAGTAGCCTCCTTTGCTCTAAGACTACTGACCAAAGCCATGTGACGGTACTATGGTACATGTTGAGATGGTACTATGGTACATGTTATGACAGCAGTATGGTACATGTTGAGATGGTAGTATGGTACATAAGTTGTGACAGTACTATGGTACATGTTGAGACGGTAGTATGGTACATAAGTTGTGACAGTACTATGGTACATGTTGAGACGGTAGTATGGTATATGTTGTGACGTAATATGGTACACGTTGTCACGGTACTATGGTACATGTTGAGACGGCAGTATGGTACATGTTGTGATGGTACTATGGTACATGTTGTGACAGTACTATGGTACATGTTGTGATGGTACTATGGTACATGTTGTGATGGTACTATGGTACATGTTGTGACGGTACTATGGTACATGATGTGCAGTACCATGGTACATGTTGAGATGGTACCATGGTACATGTTGTGACGGTACTATGGTACATGTTGTGATGGTACTATGGTACATGTTGTGACGGTAGTATGGTACATGATGTGAAAGTACCATGGTACATGTGACGTACTATGGTACATGTTGAGACGGCAGTATGGTACATGTTGTGACATACTATGGTACATGATGAGACGGTAGTATGGTACATGTTGTGATGGTACTATGGTACATGTTGAGACGGTAGTATTGTACATGTTGTGATGGTACTATGGTACATGTTGTGACGGTAGTATGGTACATGTTGTGATGGTACTATGGTACATGTTGAAACGGTAGTATGGTACATGTTGTGATGGTACTATGGTACATGTTGAGACAGTAGTATGGTACATGTTGTGATGGTACTATGGTACATGTTGTGACGGTAGTATGGTACATGTTGTGATGGTACTATAGTACATGTTGTGATGGTACTATGGTACATGTTGTGATGGTACTATGGTACATGTTGAGACGGTAGTATTGTACATGATGAGACGGTACTATGGTACATGTTGTGATGGTACTATGGTACATGTTGAGACGGAAGTATGGTACATGATGAGACGGTACTATGGTACATGTTGTGACAGTACTATGGTACATGATGAGACGGCAGTATGGTACATGATGTGACAGTACTATGGTACATGATGAGACGGTACTATGGTACATGTTGTGACAGTACTATGGTACATGATGAGACGGCAGTATGGTACATGTTGTGACAGTACTATGGTACATGATGAGACGGTACTATGGTACATGTTGTGACAGTACTATGGTACATGATGAGACGGCAGTATGGTACATGATGAGACGGCAGTATGGTACATGTTGTGACATACTATGGTACATGATGTGACAGTACTATGGTACATGTTGATTGTTTCTGTAGCTGGCCCTGTTGAAGCAAACCCTGAGTACCGACTGATTGTCGACGCAAATAACATGACAGTGGAAATCGACAATGAAATAAGTAAGTAATCATAATTAACTTGTCATTCCAGTAACGCTCTGAAAATTTTTTTTTTCCCTTATCTCATTAACATTTTTGGTTTCTTGGGGATAGCTGGAACAAATATCACTATTGATTCAATCTAATTGCTAAAAGGGTTTCACATAAATTGCAAAACAAGTTTGATACCCCGAGAAATCGGTCAGTATTAAAGAGGTCAAGGCCACTATATGACATTTGCTTAAACATGTTAAATGCTATGAGGGTGGTTTCTAATGATTATTATGAAATAACAGTGATGGAGTTGTGACAGAAATAGATTTCTTTTCTGAAGAGCTGCTGCAGTAAAAGTAGCTTCAACACTTGAGCAATTGCATAGCAATCAAGAGTTTCTGGTTTCAGAGTACTATTCTCTGACAAGTGGATCATGACTTATTTATCTTTCAGATGTTATTCACAAGTTTGTGCGAGATCTCTACTCCAAACGATTTCCTGAATTAGAATCCCTCGTCCAGACCCCCATGGAGTATATCTCCACTGTCAAGGTAAGGTTTTCGCTTATCTGGGTTGACAATGAAGGGATTCATTGCAAACATTCATTGTCATGATTCTGTCTTTGCGAATCTAAATTCCTGACCGCCTCTGTGCTTTTGTGGATAGAGTGTCTATACGGAGAGTGGAAGGTCGGTGGTTAGATCCCCGACCACATCATACCAATAGATGTTAAATGATGGTACTTGTTACCTGGCCTGGATAAAACAAGGACTGGTCAGCTTGGAGTCAGTACAGTGTGTTTTTTTGTTTGTTTGTTGTTTAACACTGCACTCAGCAATAATCCAGCTTTATGACAGTGGTCGGTAATAATCGAGTCTGGACCAGATAATCCAGTGATTGACATCATGAGCATCGATCAACTCAATTGGGATACGATAACATGCATCAACCAAGTCAGTGAACCTGACCATCCGATCCCGTTAGTCGCCTCTTACGACAAACATAGTCGCCTTTTACAGCAAGCATGGGTTGCTGAAGACCTATTCTACCCCGGATATTCACGGGTCCAGTGTACTGTGTATATCCATGTTAAGACTGCATGGTATCTCCGTGGGCTGTGTGTAGAGTTGTCTGTATTACGAGGCAAGCAAGAGATTCCTTGGGCTCCTTTTGGAATTGTATCCTCCCTGGTGTGGTTATTCTTACTCTTCGTCCAATCCTGACTTCCGCTGCCGCGTAGATGTTCGTCTCCATTGGTCGCTTGTGTGGATCCTTGTTCTCCGAGCCTCTCTAGATCATTATCTCCGCTTCTGGTTCGGGTTCCTCCCCCCTCGTCTGTGCCGATCCCTCCAGTGAAACCCCCTCCTTCCACACAGCCATTCCCTACTTCATGGGACCATCGAGACCTGGCTAACTGATCAGTGAAAATATCTGCAGTTGGTCCTATAAGTTGGAAGACCAGTCATCTCATTTCTGGCCGCCTCCTTGAGATCTCATCATCCTCCTCCGTGATTTGACTTCAGCAGAGTATGAACTACTTGCTGACAAGGATTTTAAGTTGATCACCTTCAAGACCATTTTCCTCCTGGTCCTTGCAACGAAATCGACATCCGGTTCATAAACAACATGGATTTCAACGTGCAGATTTCGGTCGACTGCAGGATTTGCAAATGATATGTACCATCAACTGGGCATCGACAGATATTTTCCAGATCTTTTCATATTTTTAATGAAGGTGCTCACATGATTTGATGCACTTCGCGAGGTATGACCTGTTTTATTACAATATAGATCTTGAATTTCTCTGTGATCATCTTGACTGGCTGCCACCATTTTGTTTGAAGCAAATGCAAGTGATATGAGAGGTGGAATCTGGTTGGTCAATAGTGGGGCATAGAAGGGACATAACTCGTAATAGCCACTGTTGGCACAACTATTGAGCCCAGAAATTTCAGTCTAGTTCGGCAAGGGTGGAGACTGGACTTACACTGTCAGTTAACTCCCTTGCTTCGGGAAAATGCATTATATAAGGGTGCTTCTGGAAGTCAGATACTGTCATCACTTCCCACTATCCCCGTGACATCTGTCATCCAGGGTCTTCACCAGTCGCCCTTGGTCCTGTCATCTTAGCTGTCTACTGCACACCAGAGCAGACAGTTGATGAGTGTACCTACTGATACTACGTATTGTGAAAATAGAACTTATCCTGGAACTTTAGCTTCTGTGTTCATTGAGTTTTATGAGGTGGTCTCCCGGACGGAGGACCCTATCGGTAGTGTGGGTTAAATCCTGTGTGGGTTCCCAGACTGAGTACCCTATCGGTAGTCTTGGTCCTGTATGGGACTCAACCCCAAAAATATGAAAATCTGTACTTTACTGAAAAAGTGTTATCCAAAATACAACATTTGTCACATGTTGTTTAATGTTCATTAATGTGATGACCTTACATTTGTTTGATAACATTCAGGAACTCGGCAACAATATTCTGGAGATGTCGAAGAACAATGAAGTCTTGCAGGAGATTCTCACGTCTGCCACCATCATGGTGGTCAGTGTCACAGCCTCCACCACACAAGGGTAACTAGAACGCACTCAATGATCAAACTCAACATTTTATCACATCTGTAATTATTGTCTAGAAAACATATCAAAACTATCTTTTTTAGGAATTAAACTTTGACCTAACTACCCACAGATATACCATGAGTGATTGAGTTTTGTTTTGTGCAGTCAGCAATAATCAGCTTATCTCAAAGATGCCCAATTCATACGTGTTAACAAACATGAATTCAGACTGTGTGAAACAGAAGTGTGCCTATGTTTTGGCCTATCATCATAATCATAATCATCATAATCATCATCATAATCATCATCATCATTGTCATCGTCATCATCATCATCATTGGATATTTGCCATAAATAGTGAAATAATAATTAATGAGTACGCAGTTGCATATATTACATGTTTTCCTTTTATCTGTTATATTAACTTAGTCTTTGGGAGTAGTCAAGCTTTGAGAAAGGAACCATTTGAGAGTATTTGTTTGCAGTTGCTGCCCCAAAGTAAAGTTGTAATTTCCAGGTGATTTCTAATACTCATGTCATTGACCTGTCATTGTTCCAGGTCTGTTCTCTCCACTGAAGAGTTTGCCACTGTGATGGAGGCTTGTGACATGGTAAGATACAGGGGTTATTCAGCGGTAGAAGTTTATTGTAGCTGTATGTTTATAAAACTGATACTGACTAAATCATGGAGTACACTGGGATCTGTTTGGAGTAAATATTGGTATCTGGCATCTCTTAGTCAGTAATGCACGACAACATTTATTTTATAACGGAAAAATAAACATTATGTCAGAAAAGAGCCAAAGGATAAAGTGGTATCCATTGGGGTCATTTATGGATAAATATGCAAATATGAAAGGTCATATATATATATATATATATCATATGAAGGTACTACTTCAGTGTTTACGAAAAAAGCATGGCATTGTTCTTGTCTATCGTCAATCGCATTGTTCTTGTCTATCATCAATCGCATTGTTCTTGTCTATCGTCAATCAAGTCTCTTTTGACTATCAGGGTTCTAAACAAATTACAGGGATAATTGTTATCATTATCAAAAATTGAGTCTAAGATAGCAAAAATCAGTATCTAACAAGGGTGAAGCTGAGGCATTTTGCATCTGTAGGCAACTTAAGAAATTTAAATTGTGAAGCTAGCAGGATTTGGGCCAGTTTCTATATCTGTGCTTGTAGACATCTGTGGCTTGGGGCTGTTTACAGAATTTGTGTCTGTTGGATTTGGCCAAAATATTTTACCTTGTTTCATTTTGTTGCTGTATGGGACATGTGACTGCATATCGTGAAGTTATGACAGGCGGACTTCAAACACTACGGACTACGTGATGTCTCAAACTAGAGCAGTTTCCCTTTGACAATGGGTCATTATTGATTAAAGTGGTTGGAAGGATGGATGGCTGTAATGTTTGTTCCTAATGCAGGATATCTACCATCCCAGAACACACTTGTGTGATAACCTCCATGTACAAGGCATATCAAATCTGCCAGCACAACATTTTTTAAAGAAATTTACCTGAACATTTAGGTTTGCTGCCCACTAAATGTGAGCAATGTGCTGTGATTTGACTTGACTTGGACAGACATTCACTGGTTATTTACTCCCACATACCTATGTCTGCAGGCTATTGATCTTCATAAGTGCAAGGTCAACATCTTTGAGTACGTGGAGTCCAGGATGTCCTTCATCTCCCCGAATCTGTCCATCATTGTCGGGGCCTCGGTAGCAGCCAAACTCATGGGTGAGTCTCACAGATTAACTTAACAAGGAATATCAGCTTGACTGTCTTGAGCGGACTGAATCACTCTGAGCAGTTTGACTTTGATTGAGGCAAGGTCTCTGTCATTGGGCCGATTGTGTGTCTTCACATGCAGATAGCAGTGATTGTTGCTTGTGATTTTAGTCACTGATTTGCCAGCCAAGACTTGATTATTTGAGGGCGGTTGGACACAGCTGGAATATTTCTGCCAGTGTTGTTTGATGACATTGGCTCTCACTCTGGGTGCTGAGTGATGGTAACTGAAACTTTATTTGATTTGTTTATGCTAAAACTAGAACTAATATATTTCCCCATATATTATAGTACATATATACAGGTGCATGCTTTTTACACAGTGAAAGCCTGTTTATTCACAATGTACCTGATGGTAACACACTGTACTAGATATCTGTAACTCTCAGTAGTGATATTTCTATATGCCTGTTATGCTGTTGATGGTCAGGTGTGGCCGGTGGTCTGACCAACCTGTCCAAGATGCCGTCTTGTAACATCCTGGTGCTCGGATCCCAGAAGAAGACTCTGTCTGGCTTCTCCACCACGGCCATCCTGCCTCACACAGGCTTCATCTACTACAGCGAGATTGTACAGAAAACACCTCCGGTAATATAATTATATTGATACAGAATGTGAAATATTGACGATGCATATTGTTTTCCTAGGTTCACAGTTCCAATTTTGCATTATACATACGACTGATAGTCTAGTCAGTCACATGAAAAAAATGTTGTTTTCCTTTAAATTGTTTTGAGTAGTATAGATATATTTTGTATGCATTACGATGGACTTTGTCCCTATATGAGAACCAGATCGCAAGGATCCAATGTTTGTTGAGCTGATAAAAAAGAATCAGATGGTCAGGGTTCATTGTGTGTCATCTTGCAGTGATGGTGTGGCCCCTTGCTCATGCTCTCTGTCACTGGTCCGAACTATTTCAACGTGTTCAAGGCCTTCAATTTAATGAGTTGGGAGACCTGTTCCAAACTGTAGATTGATCATTGACACTACAGCAGTCTGTGTAGGATAGTCCAGAGATCCAGATAAACTGTGTATGTGCATTAAATATGCAAAATAAATCATCATTACCTGATTCAATTTGAGTTGCTTGTGTACAAGTACGCCTGAAGAACTGAGGAAGCCCAACAGTATGTTTAACATCACTGTGAGTTATTACCCAGTGTAGCCATTTCAACTTGCGTACCTGTATTTCTTTACAGATCTTTAGTTACTGGTCCAGTCACGGCATCACATATACATGAACACTACTGTAGTGAATAATGCCTTGAAAGGGTCTATGGCCTGCTTGTTGATGAGACATGTATATCTTTGTTATGAACTCATGTGACGTGTTACTTGGGGCAGCACACTAACAGATACAAATTAGAAGTCACCTGAAACAGCATTTCAAAGCAGAATTATTGAAAAAAAGAGATGTATTGAAATGTATTGAATACCCAAAGAAAACTATCAATATCCAATCTGAATTAGATCCGTGAATTCCGGGGTGGAATAGGTCTTCAGCAACCTATGCTTGTCGTAAGAGGCGACTAACGGGATCGGGTGGTCAGGCTCACTGACTTGGTTGATGCATGTCATCGTGTCCCAATTGCGTGGATCAATGCTCATGATGTCAGTCAATGGATTGTCTGGTCCAGTCTCGATTATTTACAGACCACCTTCATATAGCTGGAATATTGCTGAGTGCCTTGGTTAAACAACAAACAAACAAACAATCTGAATTATACATGTGAGTAAATACACAGTGCATGAAGAGTTATCTGGAGCCCTGATTTCCTATGTCCTGTCTGCTTGTCAGGATCTGCGCAGGAAGGCTGCGAGACTGGTGTCCTCTAAGTGTACTCTGGCAGCACGAGTTGACAGCTTCCATGAGAGTCTGGATGGCAATGTGGGGGACACTCTGCTGGCTGAGATTGAGCAGAAGTTGGACAAGATGACTGAGCCTCCCCCGGTCAAGTTTGTGAAGCCACTCCCAGCTCCTATTGATCCCGGGCGCAAGAAGAGAGGAGGCAGGAGGTGGGTGGTGGTGTTTTGTGGAGTAGCTAGGTATATGAGCAGTGGGTTATAGTTTCTCAATGGGACCAGTCAGACAGTCTAACTTGTCGAAACTCGTCTTGTCCTGTATGTAGGTCTTAACCCACAAAATGATCTTAGCCTTAACTCATGTACCTGATTGTAAGACACTACCTGATGGTAACACACTGTACCTGTTGGTAACACACTGTACCTGATGGTAACACATTGCACCTGATGGTAACACACTGTACCTGCTGATAACAATGTACCTTATGGCTGCACTTTGTTTGTTGTTTAACGCTGCACTCAGCAATATTCCAGCTATAAGACGGCGGTCTGTAATTAATCGAGTCTTGACCAGACAATCCAGTGATTGACATCACGAGCTTCGATCTACGCAATTGGGATACAATGACATGCATCGACCAAGTCAGCAAGTCTGACCACCTGATCCTGTTAGTCGTTCCTTACGACAAGCATAGTCGCCTTATACAACAAGAATGGGTTGCTGGGTTGTGTTTCAACACTGTACCTATGTTTCAATTCTGTACCTTATGTTTCCACGTTGTGTTGCAGAGCACGGAAGATGAAGGAGAGGCTGGGGCTGACTGAGATGAGGAAACAGACCAACCGAATGAACTTCGGGGAGGTGAGTAGAAAGTCAGCTGGACCACACACTCTGTAGAGCAGGACAGGCACCATATCATAGCGGTCATTGATTCATCAATGCTATGCTTCTACCACAATTATCACACTAGTATATATAATGAGAACATTAAGATGGTATGAAAATAAACTGTGAAGTATAATGTCCAGTTTTCTAGCTTCTTATTCATAATGACATTTATTTGCTTGTTTTGATTGGATCTCTGTTTATTTCATTTGATCATGTCATTGTCGGAGTATCTCTCATCAAATACAGGCATGTAGTGTTTAGTTATTTATTGAGATTTAATAGCCTCTGATTGACCAATCAGAATCGAGTAAATTCATGGTAGAATGTTTGAGTATCTCTTCCCATCAAATACAGGCACCTAGTGTTTAGTTATCATATTGTAATTTGTATTTATGGTATCACTATACCTAACTATAATGTCATATTTCAACAATGCTTCCTTAAAGCAGTATTGTTAGTGATTGTATTTTTCAAATTGAAATGTTCGAATACCCTTATTTATTTCGCTTCCATACATGCATAGTGAGCTGGTATGAGTGTCATGGTGTAATTGTTTTTTTGTATTGATCAACGCACCAACTTGTTGTCAGATTGAAGAAGATGCATACCAAGACGACCTGGGTTTCTCACTTGGATCCCTGGGCAAATCAGCATCTGGGAAGATCCGAGGGCCACCGGTTGATGCCAAGACTAAAGCCAGGATATCCAAGACACTGCAGGTTGGTACATATCTGACACTGCCCCGTTGTGTGTGACTGAACGTCCCCTTGTTTGTGGAAGAGCAGACAGAAAGCCTGATGGTCACATTGTGTGACGTGGCTGGTTGTGTGTCATCATGCCAAATGTCATGGGGCATTGCTCATGCTATCAACCACTGGGTTCGCTGGCCAAGGCTTATTATTATGAGGCTGCTTTGATAAAGAAGGACTATGTTTGTCTGTATCTTGAAACAACAATAACTCACTCACTCATCACATATACATTTTCAACATATGCAAAGTTCAAATGCTGAAAAGAGGTAACATATTTTTTATGACACAAAAATGAGAAATGCAAAGTCATGTTGCTAATTCACCTTATCTTTGCGAAGATAAGTGAGTATTGTATTTTGTAGTTAGTAATCCCCTGGTGGTGTCATTCTAAAAGGTGGTACTTGATATCCTGCCTTGTGCTCAGCATTAGGGTTTAAAACAAGGACTGGTTGGCTCGGAGTCAGTGTACTATGTCTGAGAGGGATATTCATTTCAAACTTTGGCAAGATACCTCAGTGGACCAGCACCATAAAACCATCCTAAATCTGAACAAGTACTAGAGCCATACTCACGTGTACATGCAGGTCGCTATGTCAGTGATATAACCTTGAATACATCACCACCTCATAGGTATTAATCATGCTCAGAAGGGTTGTGTCTTACTAAATAAATCTCTTACAAAGGAAAAAACCGTAATGGACCAAAGTTTAAATCAAATGAACTGGCAGATAGTTGGGCCTGACATGGACATGATGGAGGAGGCCCATGCATACCGTATACCCTGGGGAGGAACCTCCAGGAAAGCAAATGTACGCTGTTGGTGATGTTTCACCAGGAACAGAGCCATTAGTAGTGGTTACCTACACACAGGTGGTTGCTGTGATCCGTCTACTGTTCGTCTAGTGCGTGAATGCTGGGCAGGTGTTTGTGGGCTAGGTGCACAATGCAGTGTTAGGAGAGTCCTGGTGGCACTTCCAGGGTAGTGAGTGAGTGAGTTAGGTTTTACTCCGCTTTCATCAATATTCCACCAATATCATGGCTTAGACTAGCTGGGAACACCAGAAATCGGCTCCAGGTTATAATGTGTCCCATGCATGTAGACAAGTAAACGAAGGATTGGATGGTTATAATGTGAGACCTAGTGGATATTTTGTATTATAATTTTCATGCCCTGAAGATATGCTTAGCTTACTTAGTCCCTGCTCTCAACAACTGGTAGCCTCGTCTGGCAGTTTCAAGCCGCAGTGATTATATATAGTACTGACTTAGGTACAAAACATCATCTACTTTACTGTCATGCAAGTGTCTATTATCATGTCAAAAGATATTGAAAGTATTCAAACAGGAGAAATGTCGGTTGAGTTTATGTTTATATGAGGTATTGTGTTTCAGCAAAAGTTGAGCAAGCAGTCCAACACCGTGTGGGGAGGGAGCACGACCGTGAAGAAGCAGGTGGCAGGGACAGCCTCCAGTGTGGCCTTCACACCGCTACAGGTGAGTGTGGGGATTGTGTGGGGCAGGGGTTCACACCGCTACAGGTGAGAGGGAGGGGGAGGGGTTCACACCGCTACAGGTGAGTGTGGGGATTTTATGGGGCAGGGGTTCATACCGCTACAGGTGTGTGTGGGGCAGGGGTTCACATTGCTACAGGTGAGTGTGGGAATTGTGTGGGGCAGGGGTTCACACCGCTACAGGTGAGTGTGGGGCAGGGGTTCACACCGCTACAGGTGAGTGTGGGGATTGTGTAGGGCAGGGGTTCACACTGCTACAGGTGAGTGTGGGGATTGTGTATGATGACTGTATTAATGTATAGGATAAAACAGTTCGGCCCTCAGGGTTTACCCTCCCTTGCTTTTTTTTACATTTTCAACCCAAACCTCAGAGGCATGTTTTAGCCATCTTATGAACTGCCCAAATACAAGAAATACCAGACAAATAAGAAAACATAGACATACCTCATATTGAAACAATACAGTGTGTCTTGGTATAAAAGGAATTCGATCAAAGCGTGTGAGAGAAAATACACGTGCAGCATGGACCAGACGGAGTCATGACATGTAAAATTGAACAACTTCACATCACTTGCCCCAATAGCTCAGTGGGAAAACGGTGGGTTACAAAACTTAACACAATATGTGAGGTTGCCGGCTCAATTTACGTCATGGAATTACCATGTAAAAAAATGTGACTTTTACCTAATCTTCAAACTCAGTTGTGTTCATATCAGGAGCAAGTTTATGAAATTTTAACTGTAAAACCTAGGTATTACAGTTAAAATGTTAAAAACCTCAAAGCAGGTTTATAAACTACCCATTTCAAAACCTAGGTTTTGAAGATGAACTGGTTACTAGGTTTACCCGAGGTGATAGGTTTATAAGTATTGTTTGTCTACAGTGCTTGGAGATCGTTAACCCACAAGCGGGATTTAATGTATTGTTTGTCTGCAGGGTTTGGAGATCGTTAACCCACAAGCGGGATTTAATGTATTGTTTGTCTGCAGGGTTTGGAGATCGTTAACCCACAAGCGGGATTTAATGTATTGTTTGTCTGCAGGGTTTGGAGATCGTTAACCCACAAGCGGGATTTAATGTATTGTTTGTCTGCAGGGTTTGGAGATCGTTAACCCACAAGCGGGATTTAATGTATTGCTGTATTGTTTATCTGCAGGGTTTGGAGATCGTTAACCCACAAGCAGCAGAGAAGAAGGTCCAGGAGGCCAACCAGAAATATTTCTCCACGACCGGATCATTCTTCAAAGTAAAAAGTGATGGGACATGATTCTGCCACAAATGTTCAACAGTGTACAAACCAGGGCACCATTCCACTAGGCATCTACTGACTGTTGTACTTCCTATGTTTTCCCACAGCATTAAATGCTAGATTGTAGAATGGGCCCTCACTAGGAAGTGAACCTCAGCATGACACTGACTGGAGCAAGGTCATATGTGAATGAAAACTGAAAAGGATAATGTAAGGAGACTATAATAAGTTGTAGCAGGATCACTCAGGGTACATGGGGTTTTATGCGTCCTGTGTTAGGTTATATATAGGTAAAACCCCATGTACCCTGATTGATCCTGCTTCAACGAATATATCTTACCGACATGTTTTAATGTGAAATTGTAAAAGATTTAACACAATTTCAAAATTGATGGAAAACAGCTGTTCGATTGAGCTGAGGTAAACTTGTGCTATGTCATGTGCCTTCCATGGACTCGGAAAAAGTGTGCAGCTTTTTGCTTTAAGGCGGGGTATTAGGGATTTATTCTGTCTCTCATAAATCCATGTGAGCCTGTATGACAAATTTATTCCCCTCCAAAGTGTGTTAAACAGTATTTTATCAAGATCACATAGACCAATCAGATCTCATCATTCTGACATGGAGGTATGATAATTATATTTATTTGAGGATTAAGTTTGAAATGGAAGTTTCCAGTTTGTACTTCATTATGTTAACTTACATCAATCTAAACCTGGAGCAGATTTAGAAACTTTGTAGAGTTGCCATGGTTACTGTTAGAAGGATGCAACGATGGACATGATCAGGAAATATGAAGGCAGTAATACCTTACAATTCAAACTACCTTTTGCTGATAAGTTTACCATGTAAATGTCCAGACTGATGACACCATGGTCATGGTCGCTCGTCTAGGAACGCTGGATATATGCTGGTGTTTCACAGGGCATCAATACAAGGAGGTTTTCTTGTACTTGTTATGGAGCATGCAGGCAAACATGCATGTGTGATTTGTGTCACAGGTAACAGGAATAAACATAGATTTCTCAAAATTGTTTGTTTATTTTTCTTTAAGTTTTGATTCAAAGGCCATAATGAATTGTTCTCATTTCTGGAGCAGTGGGGTAGCCTTTTTGTTAAAGTGCTTGATTGTCTCTCCGAAGTCCTGGGTTCAATTCTCTCATACAATGTATGAGTACAGATGAGTATGCTGCAGATGACCAATTCTGCCCCAGATCTTCATAGCAGATAGCTGTAGATCGATGTCATTTCACATAGGCCATGCGGCTGTTGTCTATTTGTAATAGTTCTGTTAAGAGTTTGTAAGGACATGGGGGTTTATGGGTAATTGTATAGAAAATTGTCTGTGACAATTCATTTTTGGTATATGTGTTTTACACATTACAGTTTGTTAAACATATTTTGTTCAACTTAACTTGAAAGGGATTGGTAAACAGGCCTAACTGGCTTATGTAAATACTGCTCCCTGTTACAATTACATTGGTGTAGACATCAAAACTTTAAGGTCAAGAAACAATTCAATTTATCTAGTCAGGTTACCATCACTGAAGTCATGCGTATAAGCTAAACATATATGTAAACTCATGTCAAAACCTATCACTATTTTCTTTAAACTCATGGACAGACATAAAAGTAAGTTGTGGTTGACATCTCTTGTTAAATCCTGTTACCATACAATGCTGTTTTCAGATCAAAACCCTTTGTGTAATAGTACATAGTGCTTCTAATGTTACTATAAATAGGACAAGTAAGGGGAAGTGAAGTGGAATAAAAAGACACTGACATTACCATGATTACAGTTGTGCTGTTGTGTGAATTCATTGTGGAACTAGTGAATGAATAATGCAATCGAACGAGTGTTATTCTCTTCTAAATTTGTCTGTGTTGATATAACATTCTAAATATATTTTTAGTCTATGGCCTTATGGGAAACTGAATAGAAAGTACATGCATTTCTATTTCTTGTAAACCATTGAATTTGAGGATACTACAAGACGATGCGTACACATTAGACATTCGTATTTTACGAAAATTTCTAACCCGTACCTAAACATCTCATCAGATTCATACCAGTTTTCGAGCATTCGTACAGTACACTGCATAGATTGGGATTGGTTTGCTGTTGTCCACCCAAACTGATGGCATGGTGGTGTGGGATGAACTGGTGTCCCATCATGTTGAACATCAGAAGGTTCCCAGATGACGCGGACGGAAGTGAAGTGTCATGATGGTCTTCCCACTCTGGAATGACATGGGACATCCTAAGTAATCCATTAAATAGATTTTGATGGCATCCGTGGTTCCATGACGCAACCCCATGTAGCATAGATGTTGGGGCGTTTGATCACGATGCTGTCTTCCACCATCTGATGGACACAGGAATTTACATGAGCAAAGGAGCCATGGCGTCCCCAAGGATTTGATCCTCCACCACATCCAAGTAGATGTGGACAGTATCAAAACCAGCTAGATGGTCTGCTTCCTGCTCACCAATGAAGAGAGGACAGTCAAAAACACCCAACTGAAAAGGCACATCAGAGACATGGCTCACTTCCTGTTCTTCATCGACATGCGTACCAAGGAAGCTGGCATTACCAGTTGGGTGGTGTATGCTGCTTTTATTGCATCATGACCAGGTAGGTTGCCTGTTCTGCAGGGGGCACCAGTGAAACTCCTACACGTCTCTCGGGGTTGGAGCATGAAAGTTCACATTCGTTTTTCCACGCATTTGAAATTGGAGTCGTTCTTTGGGGTAGTTCATGGTGATTGTGTAATGCGCTCGACCATCTGCTTGGTAAACATCAGCTGTATACTTCTGCAACAGCGGTATGCAAGTTTGTTGAAGCAATTTGTTCAGTCTCTTGATCAGTTCTCGACTGGAATAAATGCCCTCTGGAATAATGATCTTTTCAGTGGTCACTCTGGGGATGCTTGGGTTCTCTTCTGTCACTGTATCATCAGGGGCAGCTGAGCTATAGATCCTGGTCATTTCTTCCAAGTTCACTTTAAGGACAAACCAGTTGAAGGGGTAAGACACATTGTGCCATGTCATTGGAAAATGAAGTTCACTCACGCCCACGTCCCACTGCTGATGATTAAATTGGATGGGAAAGTTTGACCACATCAATGGAAGCATCATTGGGCAAGGTCACATGAAGCCCCATTTGGAAAACAACGTATTCATCAAAGGCATCCCGTGGATATACCCTTGAGGGACCAGACAGGACACGGAGGAGGTAGGGGATGTGGAAGAAGGCAATACTGTCGTGGCTGATGGCGTAGAAGACACCAGTGTAAGTTATTCACGCCTCGTGATAACAAGGGTTTGTTGGAGGTGGCGCCAGAGAGCAGTTGTTAGTGTTCTTGATGATAAGCCATCCAACAATAGCCATCCTCAGTCAACTCGCAGAGGCAACCAATCAGGGTGTAGAGTGTCTCTCTTTTGGGGCAAATACCTGTCAACTTACAGATGATCCATGGCAACTTTTGTTCCACCACTTGAATGCGGTTTGGAGGTCCATGTAGTTGTTCTTGTATAACTCATTTTGGGCAATCATGGTGTCGTGTAGACTGGTGATATTCGAGGCCAGGTCCTTTGACTGTGAAGCCATGCTGACAGAGGAAGAGGGTAGATTGCCTGGAGAGATGATATCTTCAGTTCAAGGAAGAGAGGACCGCCTCAGTGGTCTAGTGGTAGAGCGTCCGCCCGGAGAGCGGACGGTTCCCGGGGTTCGATCCCCGTTCGTGTCATACCAAAAGACGTTAAAAGATGGTACTTGCATCAAGGGGCTAAAACAAGGACTGGTCGTCTCGGGGTCAGTAAACACACAATCACACACACACACACACACACACACACACACACACACACACACGTGCATGTACGTCTCTATATAAGTGCAATAATCTGACGCAACGTTAAACCCAATTTCACCTCACCTCACCAAGGTAGAGAGGAGTATTCAACGATGTGCTCAAGTCCATGATAAAGCTGCAACTGAATGCCTTTCATTGTGTTTAATAGGCTGCCGTCCATGAGCTTCATTTTTCCATGTAAGTAGCCACCATGTAGGCAGGGTGAAAAACATGATGATGGTGGTGATGATGAAGAAATAATAGGATGTCACTTCTTTATATAGGAGAGTCAAACACGCCTGATCAGCAGCATGATGACGTCACTCATGTAGCCAATGGGAAGTGTCTCCTTGAGAGTCGTACTGAACTCAGCGCTTCTGGCTTTGCTCACATTTATCAATATTCCAGCAACATCACGGCGGGGGACACCAGAAATGGGCTTCACACATTGTACCCATGTGGGGAATCAAACCCGGGTCTTCGGCCTTAACCAATAGGCTACCCGACCGCCCTGGCCGTATTGAGTTCAAGATATTTTTTAGTGAGACTGAGAATGAATTGTGTCAAGGAGATGAAGACTGAGCTTTTATAACACAAAATTATGAACTGTGTTTTTTTAAAAGAAAACACATACATCTACCGATAAAATCTTACACAATCACCTTACACACCTGAGATACACTTGCATTTTGTCAGGAGTGAGTGAATAAGTATGGTCTTATGCCACTTTAAGTTATATTCCAGTAATATCGCGGCTGGGGACACTAGACATGGTCTTCACACATTGTACCCATGTGGGGAATTGAACCAGCGTCTTCAGCCTGACGAGCGAACCCTTTAACCACGAGGCTGCCCCACTACCCCTTATCGAAGGAGAAGCGTCTTACTGCTGAAGCAATGGTTTCTCAAGACTCCTTTTAATCTTTTCACTCTATTTTTGTAACAATTAGTTGGAATTAAGTTTTGCTGAAGAATGTGCTCTCTGTACAGCCATGACGGAGGACATGAAGTCCGTGCTGAGGGAGACCAAGCATAAAACACAGGGCAGAGTTGAGAAAGAGGAGGAAAGATTGAGAATACCCATCACACAGATGGATGCCCTTTCCAGCAGGGTGGATAAAGTTAAAGAGGAAATGAAAAAGGCGTGTAAGAGATAGACCTGACTGAAGAGGAACAGGGAATTGCCAACATGTCTCCTAAGAAGCTGACAGAGGAATCCAAATCAATTCAAATGTCAGTTCAGCTGTCTTCATTCATCAAGTCTGACTCGGACAGTCACCTGTATGATATGTACCAATCTTGCAAGTTAGCGGCCCTTGCTTGTGATCCCTGCCCCGACACAAGGATTTCTGAGGGTAGCGTAGCGAATATATTCCTTAAAAACAATGTCGATGGGATGCATCTGCGAAATGCATTGTCAACTATGCTGACTGTTAACTCTATGTATAGGGGACCGACAGGCATCGAAGATTCAGAACTCAACTTACACCAAATCCTACAGACATCGTGGCCGTTCCGGCTGATACAGGCCGCAAAACTTTGGTTATTGCAGATAATAACAACAAATGCTTATTACTGGTCAACTTGGTGCTCGGTGGGAAGCCTACCTGCCAGCATATCGGCAAAGCTCCGTTGAGTCTGTGTAAGATTAATCCGTACCAGGTAGTTGCTTCGATTCCAGAGAAGAAAAGTGAGTGAGTGAGAAGCTTTTAACAGTATTCCAGTTATATCGCGGCGTGTCAGCTTAATGTGGGAGGAAAGCCCGAAGTGATGCAGGTCTTAGACGTTTACCACTTCGGTGAAACCCACGAGCACAGGTATGGTGCAGACAAACCTAGAAACATAATCGGGGCGAACCGGGGTTCGAACCCACAATCATAGGTTTCTGACGTGCCCAAGGGACGCAACTCTGCACAACGAATCGCGGCGCCTTAGACGACTGGGCCACCCGTGCCCCCCAGAGAAGAAGAAGAAGAATGAAGTTGATAGTGGCTACTACTAACTTCCAAAACTTACCCTTCATTCGGAGGTACAAACAAATGCCAGAAATGCATTGCGGGGCCCCAAGGTGTAGTCACAGACGCTGTCATGGGCAGCGCTTCCAACAAGGTCACCCACTTGACTGCTATTCAGCACTTTGTCCGACACATTTTGACAGAAGACGACGGCCTGACCAAACCCTGTGGCGTCTTTATTGAGGAACACATGTCTTTTTGTCAGAGAGAGAGAGAGAGAGAGAGAGAGAGAGAGAGAGAAAGGGGCGTGAGGAATACGGATTCTGAAGAAACCACATTACAGTTAACAGATCGAGGGTGAGCAAATTGCCTTTTCGTTTGAACAAAGACGTATATAGAATATATATGTATATACGTCCTTGGTTTGAACTATTCATCAAAGAGCAAATTTGGTTGACCCCGAGACAGACAATTATTTCTTCTTGGGAAACCCTTTTGCGATAAAGTGGTAAAAACATATGTGTGATATCGAATTCTACAGGTGTTAAATGATGGCACATACTTAGTCTTTGGAAAAGTATTATCAAGTACTATTTGTTCACGATCAAAAGTTCAAGTTATTATTATGATGCTTTATGATCAGCTGGTTAACCCGAACGTAATTCTCGAGCGCGACGATGTAACGTTTGATTCATCAACAAATTTGACAATGTCTCTATCCTACTAAATTACAAAGGCCCCAAGATATGATACATTATTTATGACATTAAATCTCACAAAAGTATTGCTTTCGTTGAAGATAAAAGACGCATTGTTCTAAATGTTCCTCTTGCGGCTTTTTGGCAAACCTTTGTGGATAAATTCGGTTTGTGACGAGTATAAGGTTGACCCCAGAACCATACCCTTTATTTAATCAGAGTCACTCCATTCTTTCCATTCTTCCATAGTTTCCATTCTGTCCGCAGCGTCAAAGATGATACACATCGTGTATGAGAGCGCGAGTGAGTGAATAGGGTTTAGAGCCGCCTTTAGCAATTTTCAAGTCACGTGACTGCTGGGGACGCGTAAATTTAACTTCACGGCTGATACATATTTTGGAAATCGAACCCCAACTCTTTTTAACTGCTCAAGAACGTCTTGCAACTGGAGAGATTAACGGAATATTCTGACACACACTTGATATTTGTTGATCTGTGAACAGTTGACATTTCTAAAGTTTATTGACCAAAACATAGTTATAATGATTATGAAGGGAGGTGGTCCCTTGATAGGACTGGAATATTGTCGAAAAGGGCGTATAACTATATTCTCTCACTCACAAACGTAATTGTAGTGTCGAACATGACCTTATATGTAACATAATGTTACGTGAATGTAAACATTATTTTATGTAGAAACCCCCCAATATCCAACCTCTTCTTAATAAAATGACAAAAATGGAAACGGCTACAAACAGCTTTAACTAAATTTATTTGGAAGACAAATGATCAACAACGCATGGTTCAGAGTGGATTAACAATGGATACATGAGAGGAATCCCACGCTACATCGTGTAGAAGTGTAGAAGTGTACGTGTAGGATGTGAAATCAATGATTTGTGAAGCCAATAAGTAAGTATTGCATTGGTTATTTCTAATGTCAAGTTTGCTTCATTAAATAGTGAACGAAAGATGAATTTGGACTTAGTTAGTTTATTGGGTAGCCCAACTCTGTGGCCTTGGCTTGAATCCAGTCTACATACTTGGACACCTCCGTGTAGAGTCCAGGCCACTTGGGTTCCGCGCAGCCGTAACCCCAGCTTGCTATACCTGCAACAGCAGACAGAGTGATACTTCCGGGAACTGTTATACTGGACAGTGGAATCAACACTATACAGGGGTAATACTTCCGGGAACTGTTATACTGGGCAATGAGAGCAACACTATACAGGGGTAATACTTCCGGGAATTATAATACTGGACAGTGGGAGCTACACTATACAGGGGTGATACTTCCGGGAACTGTTATACTGGGCAGTGAGAGCAACACTATACAGGGGTGATACTTCCGGGAGCTGTAATACTGGACAGTGAGAGCAACACTATGCAGGGGTGATACTTCCGGGAACTGTTATACTGGGCAGTGAGAGCAACACTATACAGGGGTGATACTTCCGGGAACTGTTATACTGAACAGTGAGAGCAACACTATACAGGGGTGATACTTCCGGGAACTGTTATACTGGGAAGTGAGAGCAACACTATACAGGGGTGATACTTCCGGGAACTGTTATACTGGGCAGTGAGAGCAACACTATACAGGGGTGATACTTCCGGGAGCTGTAATACTGGACAGTGAGAGCAACACTATACAGGGGTGATACTTCCGGGAACTGTTATACTGGGCAGTGAGAGCAACACTATACAGGGGTGATACTTCCGGGAACTGTTATACTATACAGTGGGAGATACTGTATACAGGGGTAATACTTCTGGGAACTGTTATACTGGGCAGTGAGAGCAACACTATGCAGGGGTGATACTTCCGGGAACTGTTATACTGGGCAGTGAGAGCAACACTATACAGGGGTGATACTTCCTTGAACTGTTATACTGGGCAGTGAGAGCAACACTGTACAGGGGTAATACTTCCGGGAACTGTTATACTAGGCAGTGAGAGCAACACTATACAGGGGTGATACTTTCGGGAACTGTTATACTGGGCAGTGGGAGATACACTATACAGGGGTGATACTTCCGGGAACTGTTATACTGGGCAGTGAGAGCAACACTATACAGGGGTAATACTTCCGGGAACTGTTATAATAGGCAGTGAGAGCTACACCATACAGGGGTGATACTTCCGGGAACTGTTACACTATACAGTGGGAGATACTGTATACAGGGGTAATACTTCTGGGAACTGTTATACTGGGCAGTGAGAGCAACACTATGCAGGGGTGATACTTCCGGGAACTGTTATACTGGGCAGTGAGAGCAACACCATACAGGGGTGATACTTCCGGGAACTGTTATACTGGGAAGTGAGAGCAACACCATACAGGGGTGATACTTCCGGGAACTGTTATACTGGGCAGTGAGAGCAACACCATACAGGGGTGATACTTCCGGGAACTGTTATACTAGGCAGTGAGAGCAACACCATACAGGGGTGATACTTCCGGGAACTGTTACACTATACAGTGGGAGATACTGTATACAGGGGTAATACTTCTGGGAACTGTTATACTGGGCAGTGACAGCAACACTATACAGGGGTAATACTTCCGGGAACTGTTATACTAGGCAGTGAGAGCAACTGCATACAGGGGTGATACTTCCGGGAACTGTTATACTGGACAGTGGGAGCAACTGTATACAGGGGTGATACTTCCGGGAACTGTTATACTGAACAGTGGGAGCAACACTATACAGGGGTAATACTTCCGGGAACTGTTATACTGAACAGTGGGAGCAACACTATACAGGGGTGATACTTCCGGGAACTGTTATACTGGGCAGTGAGAGCTACACTATACAGGGGTAATACTTCCGGGAACTGTTATACTGGACAGTGGGAGCTACACTATACAGAGGGGATACTTCCGGGAACTGTTATACTGGGCAGTGGGAGCAACACTATACAGGGGTGATACTTCCGGGAACTGTTATACTGGGCAGTGGGAGATACTGTATACAGGGGTGATACTTCCGGGAACTGTTATACTGAACAGTGGGAGCAACACTATACAGGGGTAATACTTCCGGGAACTGTTATACTAAACAGTGGGAGCAACACTATACAGGGGTGATACTTCCGGGAACTGTTATACTGGGCAGTGAGAGCAACACTATACAGGGGTAATACTTCCGGGAACCGTGTATCTGGACAGTCAGCGGTTTTTGCTGCTGCGTTTACCTCGCAAGGTTTGTGGTTCATCGCTGCTTTGCCTGACGCCTGATTGTTTACAGGCCGCTTGATTTATCGCTGTTTGCGGCGTTAACACCTCCTTCCACACTTTAATCAATGGTTATTATGATTTTTTTGCCCATGAGTGTGGACTGTTGTTCTTAGGGTCGAAAAGTACTTCAATCGCTTGATTGGTCAAAACCTGGACGGGAAATAATAGCAACGTCTTACTCTTACCCTGGGCGTACCATGCATCCCCGTGCTTGCAGACCAGGGGCGAGCCACTATCTCCCTGTGTGAGAAGGAATGTTGTTGAGATTCAACAGTAGGGTGGAGCAGTCTCCATGTATTATGTTTACATAGTGTCTCAAACAAACAAACCCAAAACATTTGAAACACTGTTCTAAGAAGGTTTCCATTGGTGTTATATACAGTCGGAACACAGAAGAGAAGAACAACATATAGTTCGGATTTGTTCTCAATTTATATGTTTTTGTTTGTTTGTTGTTTAACGCCGCACTATTCCAACTATATGAAGGAGGTCTGTAAATAATCGAGTCTGGACCAGACAATCCAGTGATTGACATCATGTGCATCGTTCCAAGCAATTGGGATACAATGACATGCATCAACCAAGTCAGCGAGCCTGAGCACCCGATCCCGTTAGTCGCCTTTTACGGCAAACATGGGTTGCTGAAGACCTATTCCACCCCCACCCGGATCTTCACGAGACAGATTTATGTGTAACAGGAACTAGTGACATGGTGTAACTATGTATATCACGCATGTCCTTGACCGTGGCATGATCGATGTATACAGACAGTAACTGTTGTCTGAAATCTTTGATGACGTCATCTGGTTGTTTCACCAAGATCTTTGTAAAGATATTTTATCTACTGTAACTGATTATTCGAGTATGTTATTGTATCGATATCGAATCGGGAGTTTAAATTCAGGGTTACAACTGGTCCCAAACAACCTCTTGAAAATTGCTCAGTGCGGGTACAACACTACTGACCCAATCTCATTAGCTACCGCTTAAACAAAGATCTGAGAACACCCCATTACGGGTCACGTCAGACAGACCTTGTCCGAACTTTGACCGACCAATGGAATGACTGACAAGAAGTCGACATTAGCCAATCAAAAGCCAGCTTTCTCGTGCTTTACGGCACTAACATCAAATTGGCGACTACGCTTCGAAACATATTTTGATAAATTCTCTATTAAAAATTTGAAACCTGAACAAAAGAACATTCTGAAATGGCTAATAGATGTTCTAGATTGTATAGGTTCAGTCATTGAGCCCGTAACTATCGTTCCGAATACCCCGTGTTAAAGTGTTCGAGGTTGCATGATTAGAAATCACATTCCGACTGTCACTTTCGTGATCTGGTACGCGACGCTCTGATTAACGAATGAAAGGTCGTTCTGACGGGACCCCTAATGGGATGTCCTCAGATCTTTGATAAGCGGTAGCAAGAACTAGGATCTTACTTTAATGAGATTGCTACTGACCCACTTTGTTGGTTAAGAATGGCGTACTTACACTACACGCATCCTTCCTGCCCGCCTCGTAGCCAGCACACAGCATGGTACTGGGTGTGAACTCCGCACCGTACCAGTCAGGCCTGCTACACGTGTTGTCGCTGATCACAGGGAGAACAGCCTGGTTTAGGACGTTGCCGTTGCCGGTCCCTAGGGCAGATCACGTTACAGGTCATGCATGCGCAAACCAGACTTATTGTGTCGTGTATGTGTATATGATAACCATACCTTTTACATTGTCATCCATGTGGTGGGGCGGTCGGGTAGCCGAGTGGTTAAAGCGTTTTCTCGTCACGCCGAAGATCCGGGTTCGATTCCCGACATGGGTACAATGTGTGAAGCCCATTTATTGTGTCCCCCGCCTTGATATTTCTGGAATATTGCCAAAAGCTGCGTAAAACCATACTCACTCACTCACTCATATGGTACACATTTCCCCAGGTAAACGAAATATTGTTTTTTTTATTTCGGTGCAGCAAAACTATACCCATACATCTGGAACAAAGTAAAGTACCACTCGTGTCTTTACATATACTAGCGGAAAAAAAGTTTATGTGCATCACTGACTACTATGGGAAATAATAAAAATGCAAACGAAAACGATTTTGCAACAGGACAATATATTGATGTCCATGAAACATGAATTCATCATGACAGTGTCTACACATGTAAACGTCATATCAGGCTGAAAGTGACGTGGGGGTCAGTTGTCAGTTCAGAAGTCGGGCGTCCCGTGAAGATTCCGGGCTGAAATTGGTCTTCAGCAACCCACGACTAACGGGATCAGGTGGTCTGGCTCGCTGCCTTGGTTGATGCATGTCCTCGTATCCCAATTGCGTAGATCGATGCTCATGAGGTTAATCACTGGATTGTCTGGTCCAGACTCGATTATTTACAGACCGCCGTCACATAGCTGGAATATTGCTGAGTGCGCCGTTAAACAACAAACAAAACAAAACAAGTCGGGTTGTTTGGAAGACGGCGTAAACTTTTCATCCCACCCATGTTCAATGGGTGACAGATCTTACAAAACAGCAGGCCAAGGGAGTGTGGGTATGTTCTGTTGTCTAATGAAGTCTGTGACCACAGTGCGACTTGAGGGCATGCGTTGTCCTTCTGAAAAGGAATGTGACGTCAATGGGTCTGCTGAAACGGGAGGACACGAGGACGGATATCGTCGTCACGGTACCTTGCCCCTGTCTGTTGCAATCGATGACCATTTAGGGTTATATGCAGTGATGCCACCCCACACGATTACGCTCCCACCACCGAATGCAGAACGTTGAACAACATACGCGTTAGCGTAACGTTCCATTCGACGTCGATAAACACGCCAACGGCTATCACTGCTGTCAAGATGAAACCTGGACTCATCTGTGAGGACTAACCTCCAGCCCTGTAACACACACCTAGGTCCACTTGCACAAAGCGATCTTAGCGCTAAGACTATCGTAAGCCTATGTTAAAGTATGGGAGTTACGATCATCTTAATGCTAAGATCGCTTGGTGCAAGTGGGCCCTGAACATTGACGGTGTCATGTGTGCAGTTCGACGACGTGGCTGTGACATTGAACGTACAGCGTCGGATGTTATGCTCTCGTAATCGATTTATCAGACTTTTTAGAATGCGAGGGATACGGCGGGTTGTCAAAGCTGCAGTCTGAAAACGATTTCGCAGGTGAACAAGACGGATATGATTATCTTGCCGAGGTGACGCCTGGACATCCAGAACGAGGTCGGTGCCTGGTGTTGCCAAATTGGTACTGATCCCAGAGTGCCTGCATGGTGTTAACACGGACTTTGTGTCATTGGAAGTGAATCATGTTGCATTTACCTTCAGATCACAACGCGTGCACATGGCTGAAGCATATAAAGTGCGATACAGATTTCATTGGGAATCTATCAGGAAAGCACAATGAAAGCACAACACATAGCTCGTGTCGGGACAACCAATATGAAAATCGTTCATAGGGAGCAGAACAGGGCCCATTTGCACAAAGCGATCTTATCGCTTAGATCATCTTAACTCCTATACATTAACATGGGCTAAAGATAGTCTTAGCGCTAAGATCGTTTTGTGCAAGTGGGCCCAGGTACGGTTACCGCAGCTGGACCACCCTATCCTGTAAGCCGCCTCTTAAACAAGCATGGGTTGCTGAAGACTAATTCTAACTCATATCTTCACGGGCATTCCCACACAAAGCTTGCATGCCGTGATATGACTACACTATTGTTGATTCACTCACTCACTCCCGATTACCTACCCAGCGTATCTCCCCACCCCGCCAGGTAGCAGTGCTGGCCCACGTAGAGAGCCTCCGAGGAAGATGGCACACACACAGGCCGGATGTAGTCGGTGTAGTCGATCGTCTCATGCAGCACGAGTAGGGCTATGTCATTAAGGATGCTGTGGCTATCGTAATGTTCGTGCATCACGAGCTTCTTCACGTGGTACGTTCGTTGCGTGATGTCGTACCGATCAGTATGGTGCTTGCCGCCTATTGCCCGCCACCGCCCAACGCTTCTACTGACCATGCTGGAAAAAAAAGCAGCGCTAGCGTTAATAGTTTCAAGATTTGTGGAATGTTTTAAAACACTCTAAGTAAAACAGAATTAGTTATTTTGCGAGCAGAACTTCATTATTATTCACGGCTTACTCATGCCAATGCTCGAGGTCTTTTAGCGATGAAACCAAGCGCCCCCCTCCTCTCCCGAACCTCGACTGCCATCTGCCCTCTAATTTTTCAATCTGAATCTTTTTGGTTCACCTCTGAATATATAACCTATACCTACCTATATAACACGTCAAAGTAATAATGGATGCGTGCTTAAGTTCAATTACTGAAAAAAAAAATTATATAAACTAGACGTACACTTTTATTTTTTTTAAATGTTGAATCTGCGTACCAAGTACGATTGAGTCCCGAATACCATCTAAACAGACCCGTATCCCACGAGCCAGAAGAGGGTTGGCAGCCTCTTGGAACAGCCATGGGCATTTAACACCACGAGGAGCGATAAGGTGTTGACTGTCAAAGGTCGTAATCAGAGTGAGTGAGTTGTGTTTAACGCCGCTTTTAACAGTTATATCACGGCGTGTCAGCTTAATGTGGGAGTAAAGCCCGAAGTGATGCAGGTCTCAGACGTTTACCTACTTCGATGAAACCCACGAGCACGGGAATTGTGCTGACAAACCTAGAAACATAATTGGGGCTAACCGGGATTCGAACCCACAATCACAGGTTTCTGGCGTGCCCAAGGGACGCAACTCTGCACAGCGAATCGCGGCGCCTCAGACGACAGTGCTTCCCCTTACAACCGGGTAGGTCAAGGTAACCGATTGTTGACAGGAAACCCAAACTGAACAGCACTTGCGCAAGCGATCTTAGCGCTACGATTGCCACAGCTCCATCACATTGTCATACACGGTGGTTCGATCCCCGGTCGCGTCACACCAAAAGACGTTTGAGTGGGATATCCATGTTAAAATAAGGCTTAGTCGTCTCAGTGGGCTAACGCTATAAAACAGCATTATCGTTGAAATCCGTTGTGCATGCCTGAACTTAACAAAATTATTCCAACAACATAATATCATATACATATAAATATAGAATAGATACAAAAACATCTTTGCCGAGCATGCATGCATATTTATACAGATTCACTAGGGCAGCAATATATGTGCAATTTAATAAGGGGGAGAGTTACTGGATAGGTTTAAACAATGACAAGATGATTTTACAGACTTTGGACAATTTTCGCAATGATTCTAATAGTGGATTATTGAAAATAATTTTATACATATTGGATTCAATGAAGTAGAATCTGTGTAAAATTGTCTTCTTTGTTTTTCTAAGGATGGACAAATAAACAATTAATTTAGTATTTTGCCTGGTCTTGTTACATTTCATCTGGCTTATAAATAAATAAATGCTTTGGTTCTGATGATTGATGTCGTCTAGCTGCTTCATGAAACAAAATGGATTGTCCTTGCGGTGATTTGGATATGGAATGGCTATTTTTCAATATTAATAACGCAAGTGAAGAAAATTAATTCTGTAAAATTACTGAGGTGAACGAAATGATTTATTGAGCGATATTGACTTTGATGCCTTGTTTTCGGAAATGACAGGAATCTAGCACCAATGAAAACAATGTCGTACCAAGCTCGGAGGTTCACACAGATTAACCAGCGCTTTGAAATCGTTAACACTTCATTGAACCCATCGTTCAATTCCTAAATAACTTGTATAGTGTATAAGCTGAAGCTTACTCGTCAAAGCAGTGTGCTGCTGTCAGGATGAGATGTTTGTTCAAAATGGCGCCTCCACATACAGAGGTGGTCATTTCCTGGAGGAGTACCTGGAAACCAAGAATATGGGTAACGTGAAAAGTGAGACTCTTCTGTATTCAATAGGTCATACAATCTGTCTTAAAATAAATTACATACAACTGTCATTCATAAACTTTGTGCAACTGTTCTTAGACCAATTACAAACTTTGCACACATTCCATAAATCCTATTTTAACATACGCTATAATCAATTCACATGTAGTCTTGATATGATAGACGCCTCCGTGGTCTAGTGGTAGAGCGTCCGCCCGGAGAGCGGAAGGTCCGGGGTTCGATCCCCAAAAGACGTTAAAAGATGGTACTTGTTGTTACCCTGTCTTGCGCTCGGCATTAAGGGGCTAAAACAAGGACTGGTCGGCTCGGAGTCAGTATACAGTGTTTGAGTGGGGTATTCATGTTAAACTTTGGCATGGTATCTCAGTGAGCTAGCACTATAAATCGGCATCAGTCCGGACTAGTACAAGTAGCCACACAAACACACACACATACATGCACGTCGCTATATACGTCGCGACGTTAAACCCCATTTCACCTCACCTCATCTTTGATATGATAGAAATGTGCCTCAAGCAACCATCCTCCTTTGGTACAGATGGAGTTAAACCTCGTGAGTCTGGAGCCCCACCCCCTCCCCCAATCTGGACGTTTAGTGTTTTACACCGCACCCATCCCGAAATCATACCGTCCGGAGTAATCGGGTGTCACTGTATACAGCTATATATATTGCCACTTTGCGGGTATGGAACAGTGACCATTCGAACATTAGTTCGAGTGAGTATTATTTTACGCCTCTTTAAGCATTTGTTCCAGCAAATATCACGGTGGGGGACACCAGATATGGGCTTCACACAATGTACCAATGTGGCCAATCGAATCAGGGCTTTCGGCGTGACGAGCGAACGCTCTAAGCACTAGGCTACCCGACCGTCCACCGAGATGGAAACAGTAAAGAAAATCTAACCCAAATAGAAGACACCTTAGAACGTTACCTTGCGAATGTTTCGAAAATTATTTGGTAACCTGTGTCAGGCAGTTGCATAAAGGTTTAGGCAGTGCCATCGTCATGAATTCGACAAACGTCAGAATAATGGGCCAATTGTTTTAGGCTAAGAGTTAGTTGAAATATGTGACCACCAGCTACAGAACGTCAATTTTCTGGTATTATGAGTTTTCAGAATTATAATAGGACGTGGTCATTATACATTGTGTTAGAGCTGTTGAGAACGAATAAACGCCCTCTCACTAGTTGACATGCGGTAATTAAAATGTGAAGGTATCAAATAGTGAAGAAAGGCAGGAAATCAGTGTCCATACCATCCATGGCCACGCCCCACGCCTGACTTCCTGTCCGTTGACGACACGTGACGTGGCAGGAATCACCTTCGGGACACCGCACTTGACGCTTGAGTCCGCTGACGTTGTCACTGTGGAAACTAATAAGAATGAAGTCTTTCGATTTAATACAATTAAATTCACATGATAAGCTGGAAGTATAGCATTGTTACGTTTACCAATGTTTAAAATAACGGAAGAATGTAGGAGTAAATATGGTTGAATCGGGTTGTTTTGCACAATTCCAGCATTACTCCGTGATGCCGAGTAAGGCTGCATTCACACAGTGCCGATTATGGCTCCTGCTTGAGATCAGACGGAGCTACTACATAAAAAGTTAAAAAGTCGGATAACTATCCTCAATGATCTGGAATGTCCTATCATTGTCTGAACGCAGTCGTATACGTTCGTAACAGAGCCCTACGGATCGGAAAAGGTCCAGAGAGGTCGGCCAAGCACTCCCGACAGAATGGTGCGTCCCGTAGCATTCAGGAAACTCCGATTTTGTCTAGTCGGATTACAATCGTGACTTTGTCGTGAAGGATTCTGCTGTATCGGATCAAAATCGTAACAATGTCCTGTGTTGTCTGGACGGTGTCCTGTGGATCGGGACGCTGTCGTTATGAACGGGCATGATTTGGGGAAATTGTTCATTGCCGTTTCTTGTCGATTGAGTCCAGATTGCGTCCAGATCTTGCCGAATGCGAACCGTCTTTGTCGGTTCACTGTCCGGTCACTGTCTGATCTCTGTCGGATCGCATTCGGAAGATACAAATCGGATCAGATTCGGATTGAGAATCGGGCCGAATTCGGCTGGAAACTGCTGAATCGGGACGCTTCCTGAACAATATCTGATTGCTGTCGTGATTGAATAAATGTTTTTACAAATTTGTGAATTTCCCGCCACGAATCAGAGGATCTTGATCAGACTTTGACAAATTTCAATGGTCCTATCAAGGACGGCAGTAAAAATCCCGAATGTGTGACTGAGCCCTGGGGCGACTATCCTTGTCGTAAGAGGCGACTAATGAGATCGGGTGGTCAGGCTCGCTCACTTGTTTGATGCATGTCATCGTATCCCAATTTCGTAGCGCGATGCTCATGATGTCAATCACTGGATTGTCTGGTCGAGACTCGATTATTTACAGACCGCCTTTATATAGCTGGACTATTGCTGAGTGCGGCGTTAAACAAGAAAGAAAGAAAGACACCGAGTTAGTCTGGGTCATCCCACGCAACAGATTATATTGGGCGTAAAAGACAAAATAGCAAGAGAGTGAAAACTATATGAATTGATGACTGAAAATCAGTGATGACACCCGATGTTTGCGCAAAGGGTAAGCATGTCCTGCAGTACCGGTAGCACCCGCTACTCACAATCTGCATAAAAAGGTACGTGTCAGGTCTTTGGTGAGATGAGCGAACGGATTAACACCGAAACCGTTCCCACACCGCTCCCATAATTTAAGAGATAGCAAATTTGAAAACCTTGATTCCTTTCGAAGAACTTGTCACTTATTCGTAATTGCCGCACCGCTTTATTCTCTAGTGTTGACGTTTTGAATTTGTTTGATAAAGGAACATTGTAAGATTAAAGGAGTTGAAATCCATCAGTAAATTCTGCCTGTAAAATGGTCACAACTGGTACTGTGACATGGCACATCTCTGGTGTCCATGGTAATAATAATTCAGTTTTTATGATGTTCAATACTATTTTCAAAACAAGTCAATTTGGCATAGCCTCTGGAAACATTCACATTCATGTGTAGCCTGTTGCACTCGGCCACATTCTAGTTAGGTCACGCCGGCCTGTAAAGGATCAAATCTGGACCAGATAATCCAGTGAGTGATATTATGAGCAACGATGCATGCCACCAGGATACGATGATGCACATTCAACCAAGTCACCACCTCTTACAACCAGAATAGGTTGCCTGGGACCACTTCTAAGCGGGAATCCCTACATGGGTGAGGCGCTGACAAACCTATAAACATAATCTATAAGCTTACAATAGAAAATCTCAGGCAGTAAGAATCAGAATGTCATTTGATTTGACCCGTCCTGGAAATGTTTCCTCTGATTACAGATCAGAGATAAGTGTAAGTTTAGGTCAGAAGAGTTGTACTAAACACATGTCACAGTTGCAAACAACAAATTCGTCATTAAATACCCCTTGGTATATATGAATGCAGATATGGTGTCTGATACTAAAAGCACCTACCTAGAGTTACCAACGTAACGAGCAAGGGGGAGGTCCACATTGTTCCTGAATGTGTAAAACACCACGCGATCTACGTTTCACGTTTACATTTTATCAAGCAAGACTTAGTGGTTATTGTCACTTCCTTTCATAGCAATATGGCGATTAATAATGTTTTCTTTTAGTTGTGATGACACACTTGTATGGCGCTTGTATGTTCTTCAGATTTTTTTATGTCAAGGATATTAAAACTTGGTCAGGTCGCTCCAGACCACCTGAGAAGCATGGTGTACGTCAGTAACTAGGCTCTTGGCGACTGTTGTTTATCAGTGTGGGTGGGACCATGAAACCGTGGCAATTGTTTCAACATGTTATAGTTTAGTTTCACCTTTATCTTGATTTAATGACGGGCCACTCCCATAATAAACGGTGTGTGTATGATAGAGATAGCTTGGTGATAGATGAGCGTGGTTATTGCAGGGCTAGGGAGGTATTCGGTGTCAATCACTATGGTGGATGCGCGGGAATAGGTGGTATCTACTGAGAGCTGTCTACTTGAAACAAGTCTTGTCAACATGGTTTTTCCCCGATGGGTGTCATCTGTAACACGCATGTAATTTATAAGAGGTGTGCTCATTCAATATATGTCTAAGATACATTTAACTCTGAATTCGAAGTATATGGAACAATGTGTCAGATAATAGGCTTCTATTCAAGATTATTGTGTTTGAACAAATACAGGGTTTCTGCCATTTTAGATCGGGCCACGAATGGCGCAGCTGCGTCCCTTAGGAAGAGTTGCGTCCCTTGGGCGTACCAGGAACCTACAGTCGTGGGTTCGGATACCAGATTTCGCACTTATGCACAGTGAATGCTGCGCTATACAAATGCATAAATTATTATTATTATTATTATAATGTTGTCAGCAGCATAACCGTGCTCGAGTGTTTCACAAGCGTGATAAACGTCTAATAACATGCATCACTTCGGGATTCCTCCCACATTAAGCTGAAACTGATCAGGGAACGATGGTCATAGCAGCGTTAAAACACACTCACTCACTTCTTAATAGATGCTTATTGCTACAAGTGGTAGCAATCTTCAAATTTGATTGTCATTCTAGATTTTTAATCACCTAATATGTTTTGTCAATGTACACTATATACACATTAACTAAATGATTCCTCAGTATTTACGTTTGATTTAAGCAGAACATATAAATAGCTCCACTAATAACATCATAGACTAGACAACTCAAGTTCCATTCATGAACATTCAACAAATTAAGTATGACCACTATGTGTTATACATGGGAAACAAATCCAGTTTCCCTGCCATGTTTTTGTCATATGGGTACGTCATGCTGACTAGACCGCCTCCGTGGTCTAGTGGTAGAGCGTCCGCCGACCGCGTCATACCAAAAGACGTTAAAAGATGGTACTTGTTGTTACCCTGTCTGGCGCCCGGTATTAAGGGGCTAAAACAAGGACTGGTCGGATCGGAGTCAGTATACTGTGTCTGAGTGGGGTATTCATGTTAAACTTTGGCATGGTATCTCAGTGAGCTAGCACTATAAATCGGCAACTGTCCGGACTAGTACAAGCAGCCACACACACACACGTGCATGCACGTCGCTATATAAGTGCAATAATCTTGGACGCGACGTTAAACCCCATTTCACCTCACCTCACCTCATGCTGACGGCGCATTTTGCAACTAGGGCAGAAACACAAGGAAGTAGCTTTGTTTCTCTCTGGTTGCACTTAGTGATGTGGTTTCCAACCGCAATCTAATTAAAATCATATCTTTTCTTCCGATACCTCTTTGTGTCCACATCTTAGGACGTCTTCATACATTCATAGTCTTGCTTGATTTAATTAAAATCAGATATTTTCTTCCAATACGATACCTGTTTGTGTCCAGATCTGAGGACGTCTTCATAGATTCATCGTCTTCATCTAATTAAAATCAGATCTTTTCTTCCAATACGGGGGGGGGGGGATAGTCTAGTGGTTAAAGCGTTCGTCACGCCGAAGACACGGGTTCGATTCCCCACATGGGTACAATGTGTGAAGCCCATTTCTGGTGCCTCCCGCCGTGATATTGCTGGAATATTGCTAAATGCGGCGTAAAACCATACTCAATCACTCACTCTTCCAATACGTTACCTTCATAGATTCATAGTTTTCATCTAATTCAAATCATGTCTTTTCTTTCAATACGATACCTCTGTGTACAGATCTGAGGACGTCTTCTTAGGTGTTCAGATGAACTTTCCAATCAGTTCAACGGGCCCAAGCTTCTAAATTCTGGGCACGAGTGTACGACATTCTGATTTCTGTATCTCCATGATGCGAATAGGGGATTTTCGAAAAGAATACCCCCAAAACAGAGCGTGCTCTTTTATTGTTGTGGATAACTTGTTCCACGATATTAACATCCAAACGAGGGTATATTTGTATCCTGTTATGGGACGGTCAATATGAAACGTCAACACCAGAGAATAACAAGTCTCGATTATCCCCCGAAACAGATTCAATTGGGATGTAAATGAAAAATAGTGGTGAACATTTTATGTATGGATCCCTGAAAATTAGTGACGATATTGATTTAGAGAGCTGACATCTCATTGGCTCTAGAACCCACGCATCCTTCATTTAGATTGGGAGGTCAAACATTCCTCAGGGTTTAACTTGTGTACGAAACGACTTTTTCTATTTACCAAGATTGGGAATACATGAATAGTGTTACGTGTACGATACACACTTGTAATAATCTCGTTACTATCCACGCATGTTAAACAGGTACAAGCTGTTTAAGCTAACAATTAACAACAACAAGAAGACAACTTTGCGCTGGCAAACTGTTTGTTCCTCAAACTAAAGACACTGTTTCCCTTATATTATTGCGTTAAACTTTCTTACAAATGGCATGCATTTGCTTTTTGCAAGCAATTATTCAACTTCCATGACTGTATGGGGAACGATTACAGTCATTGGTATACTGTGTGCAAGCAATGACTCAACTTCCATGACTGTATGGGGAACGATTACAGTCATTGGTATACTGTGTGCAAGCAATGACTCAACTTCCATGACTGTATGGTGAACGATTACAGTCATTGGTATACTGTGTGCAAGCAATGACTCAACTTCCATGACTGTATGGGGAACGATTACAGTCATTGGTATACTGTGTGCAAGCAATGACTCAACTTCCATGACTGTATGGGGAACGATTACAGTCATTGGTATACTGTGTGCAAGCAATGACTCAACTTCCATGACTGTATGGTGAACGATTACAGTCATTGGTATACTGTGTGCAAGCAATGACTCAACTTCCATGACTGTATGGGGAACGATTACAGTCATTGGTATACTGTGTGCAAGCAATGACTCAACTTCCATGACTGTATGGGGAACGATTACAGTCATTGGTATACTGTGTGCAAGCAATGACTCAACTTCCATGACTGTATGGGGAACGATTACAGTCATTGGTATACTGTGTGCAAGCAATGACTCAACTTCCATGACTGTATGGGGAACGATTACAGTCATTGGTATACTGTGTGCAAGCAATGACTCAACTTCCATGACTGTATGGGGAACGATTACAGTCATTGGTATACTGTGTGCAAGCAATGACTCAACTTCCATGACTGTACGGTGAACGATTACAGTCATTGGTATACTGTGTGCAAGCAATGACTCAACTTCCATGACTGTATGGGGAACGATTACAGTCATTGGTATACTGTGTGCAAGCAATGACTCAACTTCCATGACTGTATGGGGAACGATTACAATCATTGGTATACTGTGTGCAAGCAATGACTCAACTTCCATGACTGTATGGGGAACGATTACAGTCATTGGTATACTGTGTGCAAGCAATGACTCAACTTCCATGACTGTATGGGGAACGATTACAGTCATTGGTATACTGTGTGCAAGCAATGACTCAACTTCCATGACTGTATGGGGAACGATTACAGTCATTGGTATACTGTGTGCAAGCAATGACTCAACTTCCATGACTGTATGGGGAACGATTACAGTCATTGGTATACTGTGTGCAAGCAATGACTCAACTTCCATGACTGTATGGTGAACGATTACAGTCATTGGTATACTGTGTGCAAGCAATGACTCAACTTCCATGACTGTACGGTGAACGATTACAGTCATTGGTATACTGTGTGCAAGCAATGACTCAACTTCCATGACTGTATGGGGAACGATTACAGTCATTGGTATACTGTGTGCAAGCAATGACTCAACTTCCATGACTGTATGGGGAACGATTACAGTCATTGGTATACTGTGTGCAAGCAATGACTCAACTTCCATGACTGTATGGTGAACGATTACAGTCATTGGTATACTGTGTGCAAGCAATGACTCAACTTCCATGACTGTATGGGGAACGATTACAGTCATTGGTATACTGTGTGCAAGCAATGACTCAACTTCCATGACTGTATGGGGAACGATTACAGTCATTGGTATACTGTGTGCAAGCAATGACTCAACTTCCATGACTGTATGGTGAACGATTACAGTCATTGGTATACTGTGTGCAAGCAATGACTCAACTTCCATGACTGTATGGGGAACGATTACAGTCATTGGTATACTGTGTGCAAGCAATGACTCAACTTCCATGACTGTATGGGGAACGATTACAGTCATTGGTATACTGTGTGCAAGCAATGACTCAACTTCCATGACTGTATGGGGAACGATTACAGTCATTGGTATACTGTGTGCAAGCAATGACTCAACTTCCATGACTGTATGGGGAACGATTACAGTCATTGGTATACTGTGTGCAAGCAATGACTCAACTTCCATGACTGTATGGGGAACGATTACAGTCATTGGTATACTGTGTGCAAGCAATGACTCAACTTCCATGACTGTACGGTGAACGATTACAGTCATTGGTATACTGTGTGCAAGCAATGACTCAACTTCCATGACTGTATGGGGAACGATTACAGTCATTGGTATACTGTGTGCAAGCAATGACTCAACTTCCATGACTGTACGGTGAACGATTACAGTCATTGGTATACTGTGTGCAAGCAATGACTCAACTTCCATGACTGTATGGGGAACGATTACAGTCATTGGTATACTGTGTGCAAGCAATGACTCAACTTCCATGACTGTATGGGGAACGATTACAGTCATTGGTATACTGTGTGCAAGCAATGACTCAACT